CTTTACCATTTCGCATTACGGGTTTCACGTCAATCTATAACAATTTGCGGCACTGTCGTGACTCTTGGTCATAGTTACAGGAAGCGGAATTTCTTGTTTTTTTTCTAGGAACAGGCCAAAATCAATGCGCGCGAGGACGTCATCCATAAAACTTACTTGGTGTGGCCTTACAAAGGATTCATTCAATCGCATTGACTCAATTTTTATCACAGTTCTAACATGGGTATTTTTTTTACCTCCCGATGGTTCTGATATTTGTCTGGGTCATATATCATAACCCCCCCTGACTTAACTAGACTAAAAAGATGTTGCATTTAAATTGTGTCGGTTCCTACTTTCTGCTGGCAGTGCTGCCCCTTTTGATGCCCCCTCTCAAAAGTGGGTGAACGAGTCTATCATATAACGTTAACTTAATACATTGTTGTACCTTTTGACATTTACTATAGTAGCTGTGTACCGACTCTCAATGTCTATATAAAATGACGACACGCAATATACATCCGTACACAAACGATCCGGGCTATCTCTGCATATCACTGCATATATGATTCGTAACTATAAGAAGACATTTTATCTCCAATGGGAGACGTCCTTGATCCAATCAAGTCCATTGTCCGCCGGCCCCCCTGGAAAAGTGGGCGTGTCCAGGAGTTCGCAGAAAGTTCAGGCACACAAACAAGATGGCGGACGTGACTTGGTACATGTCTGAGTCTGCCGAGGCTGTTGCGGAGGAGCTTTCCCGTCTCCTGTCCTCCCTAGAGGGCCGTGACGACGACGAGGATGTCGCCGAGCAGTATCTCGAGAAGTTCAGGGAGGTGGGTAACCTTTGCACGCCGTATTTGTCTGCACCGTGACGTTGTTTTCGACCTGCCCGCGCCAGCAGAACTGTCTCCCGCGGTTGCGAAACCAGCTTGCGGTGCACGTTTGGATTGTGTGTAGAAATGCCGTCTGTCAACACGTACAGCGTTACATGGTTACACGAGCTCTTTATGTCTAGTGTGGATCAAAGTCAAGGTCTTTCCCTCTCACACAACGGTCCACACGGCCTGCTTGAATCACCCATGCTGCATGCATGCTGTTTTCACAAATTGTAATTAAGTCGGACAGGTCTTTGATGTTTTGGTTGCGGTGGGGAGGGGGGTGTTGCATCAAAATATTTGTCTAGTGATTTCTAGACGTTTCCCCCTGTCGTATTCTGCATATCTTGTCAATAATTTGGTTAAAGGGTGGTGTTCTCTCTCATAGTATTGTCTGTTAGACATTGAGCAGAAATTGGTTTTCTGGCCCTGTTGAAATTTATAACACATCTCAACTGTCACATACTAATTATTTGTCAACTCAACATGACTACTAAGCTTAGTCTGTAGCAGAAATAATCGACAGCACAAATATGAATTTTAAACCTATTTTTTCAGATTTCATTGCTCATTTGTGCCAATTTCTGTACATTTTTTTTCACAAACATTCAATAGGACAAAAGACATGCAACCATGCCTAGCCCCCCTCCCCACCTGTGAAAATGTAACTACTGTGTGGTGTGCCTGTGTATCTGTTAACAAACTCAAGTGACATTTTGAGTATTGGTAAAGTTAAGCACCTGTTAAGTATGGTATAAAGATTTGGTACTCTCTCTTTTACTAGATATTTATACATTCTGTAAAATGCATGGATGAATGAGATTCAATGAATTACCTTTTTTTCTTCTTTTTTTTTTAAGACTTCAGTGATATCTATTTAGTGATCCAACTTATACAATATAGTTTAACAAAGTAGAATTCGCAGGACACTTTTATTTTCACTGTCAATGTTAGAAAACCAATTGTACAACATTTGATCACTCAGGTGTCAGATCATGCACAGGTTGATCAGCTCGAAAAGGTTGATCAGCTCGAAAAATTTATGTCTCATGCAGTGGTCTACCCCAAAAAACGTTTTTTTTCTAGGTTCGGTCAGGAAACTGAAACATTTTTTCCTTGCCCTAAGCCATTTCTGGTAGCCAATGTATTACTAGTAGTATACATAAGTTATAACATTAATAATAGCACAACAACAGTATTCTAACCTTGAGTATAATAGTCAAGGTTATTTATTGTCCATTGATTGCAAGACATGGTATTGGTGATTTTGGCAAATGTCATTGCTAATAAGAGTCCTAAAACTGACAAGCATTTTGCATGTTGAATTATCTGTCTGTAGAACAACGGTAGTTATTATCATCCTTATCAATTGCACAGCAGCATTGCTGATAGAGGGATAAGTACTCTGTATACCTGTAATGACCAACTCCCAGACTCAAAATGGCAACTGAAGTAGTCAAGGTCATCCTTGACCACAATGGACAAAAACAACAACAATGGTTCTGTAATGATAATCTTATGAAATGTACATGCAGCTGCTCTGATAGAAAAGTCATCAATTTGATAAAGAGTATAAAATGTCCTTGATCATTAACCCTTTTGAAATGTATGACCAGTCAAAATGGGTTCAGTTTCTACATGTATTTTCTACTAAGGTCATGTCAGTTGCGGTTCCTCATGGTAATTGTAAGAGTGTTCGTTACAAACTTGTCACACCCTCGCCACCAATTTTCCAGGCTTATGCACAAGTGCAACCATCAGAGACAGGAGTTCAAATGTAAAACTCACACCCACCTATCTAGTACTGTAAATAGAGATGATTTTGCAGTGATTTTATTTTACTTATTAAGTAATATTGAGGGAAATTATAGAGGGGGTATTCGTGGTGTTCTGAACTTGAAGTACACATAGTACAGACGTAATACAATTCGTGTTATCTTGATTTTGTATTAAAAGTGCTCTTCAAAAACCTCAAAAATTTTAACCACCATAAAAGTTTCTGCATTTACAGTAAATAAATCCTACAGTCCAGCTGCTAAGCTGAGGACAGGTGTTAAAGTAAAAGGAACATTGGCTTCAGAATAATTTCTATGTACTAGTATGCATGTTGTGACCAGTTTGAGAGAAAGCTCTTGAGTCAATTGGAAATCAAGTTGGAAGTGTTGTTTGTAAAATATGTTTGTCATTGTAATCATTGTTTTCAAATCTACACAACTTGCATACAACTGGTATTATGCTATTTTGTGTAAATTGTTTTAACTTTTAACTCCCCCCCCCCCACCCTTGCAAGCAACCTCTGGCTTGGGTCAGACATACTGTTATTTACATTTGTATGACCTTGAGATATATGTAAATGAGGTACTTCCGGCTTGATTGGTTTGGGTACCTGGCCTGCTCAGGTGTGGATTGTTGTAAGCTGCCACAGACCGTGTGGTGTTCAAAATCCATAAAAATGATTGACTACCGGTAACATGTTAAGGGTTCCATATCATCACCCAGGGTCTACCTAATCACCCGTTTATCTTTTCAGGTGTATACTACTAGTACTACCTCGAAATTCTGTGGGGGAAAAAACTTGCTGGTTTGAAAAATTGTAGCACAATAACAATTTCTAGTATAGTCAGAATACGGACATATTACATGTGTACATGTATATAATATGTATATGATGGTATAGATTGTCACAAGCTGCTTGTTGCACAGCATACTGCAATAAATTAAAGTTAGCAACGTGTAACAACTAACAACTGAACAATGTTCTACCCTTTGTGTCGCCTTAATTTGCATGTTGGGGATCATATTATCACAGCTCTGTGAACATGTTGTTAGCTTCATAATCAGTAGCAAGGACATGTCACTCAGGCCTTTCACTGGGGGTGTTATGTGTGTCGAAAATTAAAGTTCAGTCAGCTGATATAAATTATAAGCGTGTCATAATTATGTTCCTCTCTGAATAAAATAGTCCACCATTGCTGAATATAAAAACATGTAATCTGGAGCATCTTGTTATAAGGAGATATTAATTTTATATTAATATTATAAGTAGTGGAGTGTGTGTCTGTTACTGTGTAAGTGAATGGTTTGGTAAGGTGTGGTTGTTCCACTGTCTGCTTTGTTTCAGTGGTATGCATAATTCAGGAAAGGTCTTGAATTCCACACATAGATTGTCTGGCTGCACATTACACAGGAAGAAAGGACTCTATTTATTGCACAGTGTGAGGGCACCTAAAATCGGAGCTGTGCATCTGATTTCTGACTGGGGATGTGCCGGTGCATGTAGATATATGTGTAACATTCATATGTGTCAAAGATTTAGACCCTGTTCATACCAGACTTATATTTAGCGGTTTCAACCGGTTTTTCAAAAACCGGTTTTTATTTAACCTGGTGTGAACGCAAATTAACCGGTTTTTTAGGGGTTTAAATCCGATTTTCAAAAACCACCTCGGGAGGTGGTTTTTGAGGGGTTTTTCCACCGAAAAACCTGGTCTGAACGCTAAGGGTTTATTGAACCGGTTTTTGCGTCATAATTCTGGGGTCACGGGGTCAGCATCCTGGCCATGTGCGACCTCCAAGCTTTTTTGATCGCGCTGTTTAAGACCGTTTCCACTGTTTTTCCATGGTTTCTCTTCATTTTTACGATGGAATCAGCCAACGCAACCTGGTCGGTGGACGAAACGCTCCCGATACGTATTTTTGGAGAGCAGGAGTTGATCGCCGAATTTGAAAAAGCTGGGGGGAGGGCTCTATTGAGGTCTCTACCGAAACAAAAATGTTGGAGGAGCCTGGTAATGGCCGATTAACCGGATATTCGCTGGACAGGGTTTTTGAAAAACTGGTTTTGCCGACGGGGTTTTGCCGGGTTAATTATTTAGCGGTTTCAACCGGTTTATATAAGTCTGGTATGAACAGGGTCTTAAAAGACCTATGTTGTAATACTAGTACCTATATGTCATACCTTGCTTGTTTAAAATTTCTAAGTTAGCACTAACTAAGGAAGTAGTTAGCTCATATCAAGGAGGTTCAAAAAGAAAGTTGGACCTCCTTGCTCATATAGAATTAATGTTTGTAATTATGTTATGCTGATATTCCGCTCTGTCTTACATTATATTGTGTACCAAAATGCAACAAAATTTTTGGTTAGATGCAACAGTGAGTCACAGGTTTTGGCTATGACAGAGTATGAGCCCTGAGATTATACATATTATCCATACTGAAAATATTCATTTTATGATCACCTTGCTATATATACATTGGTTTACTTTACAAAAGCATACCGATTACAAAATTGCTGGAACAAAAGTTGTGTAGACAAAAATGAATATATTATGTATATATAATACTGCCCAAAAAAGGAATTCAATGTAATCAGTGTGCTTGAGTTACAAAGCATTCTTTCTCAGTGGGGTGTAGATTGTGGGGTGAAGAGTAGAATTCTTCAATCATGTCTGCACAATTGTTTATGCCAACAATGCTCTGTTCAGGATGTTGTTGTAAAGTAAAACCACCCACCAAGGTGACAAAATAAATGTTTCCTTAAAGATATTGTTATAATGATTGTTAATTTTAGTCTCAGATAGGTAAAGTCACACCTTGATATTTTGTGACAATTTAAAGATAGATATAATTATGCAATATTTGAAAATAAATACCACAAGTAAGATCATATAAAAGATCAACATTTAAAAATTGTTCCTGTTGTTGTAAAAACACTTTTCTCATGAAAGAATGCATTGTTGCTGAGGGATGTACCTTACTGCAGTCCTAAATGTAGTTGTAGATCTACATATACATGTATGTCACACTCATAATCAATATTCAAATAAAAAAGAATCAATTGCCCTTCACTATCTATTTGATAAAGTTTAAACAGTGCCATCACAAATTCAAATCCTGGAGTACTTTGTAATAGTGTGTGTATCTGAATAGAGTTACACTCAGGTATTCACTTACATGTACCGGGTATTCCGTTGCTAAAATCATGTTATTCCTGACACAATTATGAAAATCTATAACTGGAAAAAGATGAAAACATTGTTTAGGTGTTTTGTTCTCTGCATACGTATACATAAGATCCCCGAAGTCTAAACAAACATTCTGTTAAGTCAAATCATGATTCTGTCATCTCTGAAGACCACAGGTTGTCGAATCGGTCTGTATCTTTCAGATTAAAAGTCATGAAAATTCATTGTTACCTCCGGGTAGGGATGTATATCCCGTGCGCGGAGGTTTTGTGAGGGAAGACGAAAATTGCGTTCGCAGCCGTTTCTCGCGTTTGGGTGGACGGATATGTCTGGGACTTGGTATACGTTTTGCTGTTGGGCTGTAGATGGTGCACGTTGTTTTGGTTTTTTAGTATGTGTGTTTTAATGCGTGAAAATGATGCATTTAGACCGCCGATGGACACCCCTTGTGTGTGAAAATGGTTTTGTCTTTTGGTTTTCGGCGTGTATAAAGTGTCGTAGGTTGCGTCCACATCTGGTGAGAGGGGGTTTCAGGTATCGCGCGGGTCGCAGCCAGCCAACTTCCGGGTGGGCCAATGGGTCAGGGGTCAACGCCCGCTCTCCGCTCAACCGTCGGCACAGAGACGAGCGGCCGCACCGCCCAAGTTCGTCGCTGCCGTAAGGCGGGAACGCGCCGTAGAGCTGGCCGCGAACCCTCGGGAGCCTGAGCGCAGAACTCCCGGCCACACCTGACCGTTGCTTCCCTTCAACGCCCGAGCCGTCCCCGTCGGGAACGGTCCCGCACTCTCACGACCGACGCGCCCGGGCGGCAGGATCTCTGACCGCTGAGTCCCTGTGTTTTCGAACTTCGGTGGGGATTTCCGTGTTGTTTTCTGATTTTCATCATCCACTAAGATATACTTGAAGACCGAGCGTGATTTGAACTAGTGTGGGATAAGTGGGGAGGGATGGCAGCCGCGGGGGGAAGCGGTCGGCTTGATAAATTTTCGAGAGCAAGTTGATTTCTCACGCGGCCGTTTGTGTGGGTGTTTGTTTACATTATCGCTTGTTCCTTTCTTGTTTTATCCGCTTTTAAAGATTTTGCCAGAAACTCCCCTGTAGTTCCAGAACAAACAGCTAGGGGGACCAAATGCACACCACTTGTTCCTGACATGACAACCTATCTATCGTCTCTGAAGACCACAGGTTACTTTGTCAGATTGGTCAGATAAGGACCTTTATCTAAACCTCTGTACCTGTACTTATTGTTATGTTTAGGCCACACCAATTTAATGTGTTGGTTCTCGTATCACCTCTTCATTTTTTTCTGATTTGCAAAAAAATAAAATAAAAATTCTGGCTCTGAATCAACAGTTGAGGAAAGTCCTTTTCTTCCTAGTTGTTACAGTTTTTCCAACTATAAATGCAGTGGTTTGATTAATAGTTCAAAATTCATTGTTTAAATATTAACCCAGCCTTTTGAGTTGACTTCTTGACTCCTATTGTAGCGTTTGGGGCAGGGGCTATAATAGGATGCCTAGTCCTGTTTTTATTTTTTTTCGCCGTCGCTTCAAATTTTTTCAGAAAGAATCTGAGACCCAACAAATCAAATTGGTGTGGCCTTAGATATGCAGTTCTACTCTATAATGACCAGTGGTCTTTATTTCTGTGACAGATTGTTGATGCCCACCTCCCAGAGGGACCAGTGACAGGTATGGAGGAGGGGATCGCTGTAATACAGGCTGCAGTAGAGAAGTTTGTACAAGCCAGACAGAATTTCAATGAAGGACAAGCATGTATGCAGTGGCTAGCATCCTCACTTGCAACGTAAGTATATGTAGGGTTAGAAAATTGATCCTGGAACATTTACCAACAAGTAGTAAATTATCTTGAATACCTGCATCTATATTATGTCTCTGTTGCATTGTTATGTCAAGGACATTATATATAATCTTTATATCATACCCAGGCCGCGATAACGTTCGATAACGGGTTCCAGACCGGGCCATACTTTACGGTACGGCCCGGTCCGGAACCCGTTATCGAACACTTCCATGGCTTCCATAAAACAATTCGAACGCGTTTCACCCAAACCGCGTGTGCCCCTTTCGAAAATTCGAATACAGAATCCGGACGTTGGAATTGATGTTGTTGCATTTTAGGGTTTAGTGGCACCAACTTTTGGCTCATCTTGCATTGAAAGGCGTGCTTTCTTGGGTGGGTATGACATAAATAAAATATAACACAGTGTATTCCGCATCGACCTCGGTCCCGGCCCTCCCGCGAGTCAGGCCGATACCTCGGGCGATACGGAATACCCCGTGTTGTATTCTTATGTATATAACCAAGGACATTATATATAATGTCCTTCACTCAGGTTATGTAAATCACCTTAGATTCACTGTAAATCATTCTATATTTATATATTATTTATATACTATATAATATTATATTATTATATATATTTATATATATTCTATATTTTCACAAAATGATGGTGAACATTCTTACCTCAGTGACAGTATGAATGTAACAATTAACATATAAACTATGTTATGTGCATGTGTGTCACAGCATGTATTTAAACCAACAGTACTCACGTGTTGGTATAAATGTGACTAATGTTGAATAATGGCAAAATTACTACAAAATTTACTGTTACACAACATGAACATTGGTGAGTTGGAATGTTGCTGATTGTTCCTTGCAGGTTGTCTGCTCAGTATGTAGTAGATTTGAACTACCAGCATCTGCCAGTGGAGGCCAAGGTGAAGTTTGTAGCCACTATTTCTATGGCCAACGAGCTGTTACAGCCATTCGGCCACGAAGACTTCTTGGAGGTTCTACTGGCAGCACGGCAGCCTTGGCACCCTGTATTTCTGAAGATTATGAAAGGAAAAGCAACTGACATGAGTGAAGGTAGCTTCTCTTTTACCTAACAGTGTGTTTTGGCAGCTATTTAATGAATAAAAATTTTCTGAAACTTGTGTATGGTGAATAAGCCATTTTGATAGTCTTACTTCAAACCATTAGTCTGTATGGTTGTGATATATTTTTATTTTATTTTAATGTCTGGTAATTACAAATGACCAAGTACTGGTAACAAAATCTGGCCATGATGTCAATTGACGATCGCTTGTACGCAAATTTTAGAAATGGAAACGACATGGTTATTCTTGCCTTAATGTAGCTTTAATTCATCGTAATGTCATAGGCAGCCTCATACTGGAATTTACTTTATGTTCACGGTACAAAATTTCACGGTCTGGGAAAATGGAGCTGTTTTCTGAGCTATATGTTCATAGTGGTGGCAGGTGCAAAAAAAAAAAGTTGGCGAATAACAGTAATGATAAGCGGTACAGAAGTGGCCAAAAAAAGGAGGACATGAAGGTACGATGAAAAACTCAGGGATTGCTTTATGCGGTTGTTGAGTTTTATGTACTTAGCAGCTACCTATTGGGACCAAACGCTTCCTGAACAGTCCCGTCCCAGCTATGCTAAAACTGTTGAACTCAATGTGAAAGTAACTCTTGACTAACAGGTTTAACGCCTTTCCCGCCTTAACTGTTAAATTTGAGGGAGCTCGAGGCTGCAAAATTTGAATACTAGTACCAATGAGGACTTATCAAATCTTATCTTTACTGTAACGTTTTTTAAGAACCTTCCGATAAATTACCCTTTTAAGATATTTCAATATTTGTAATAATAGTATGGTGTATTTAAGATTTTAAACAATTGTTAAATTTTATCCCTATGTGTGTAAACAGCTGTATGGCCCATTTGTAATCGTAATAATGTTGTATTTTGCAACCAGACCCAACAATTCAGCCGAATGCATCTCGGCTGCCAGTGGGTTCTGGGATTTATTTGTTCATCAACAATAAACCAGTCTATATATATATATATATATGGCAACAACCTCCCTCTCCCGTGTGTAGTGGACGTGTACCTTAGCCGTGAGCCCAGCCTGTTGATGGAGTACCGGGTCAGGTCTCTACACGCCCACGGCGCGGTGGACGATGCCTCCATGCTGGCCCAGTCCTGCATGAACCACCCCAGCCACAGGGACACCCTGTTCTTCAGGGAGATGTTCCTGCTGTGTCAGTGGCAGGCAGGCAAGGTGGACAACATCAAACGACAGGTAATGTGTTCTTCCCTACAATTAAGGATAGTAAATTTTATGACATCCTCTGCAATTTTATGACATCCTATGCAGACTCCAAATCTAATGCAAATGTGAAAAAAATGATAATAAGATGGGCCAAAACAGGATGTACCAAAATTGTCAAAATAAAGGCCATACAACTAGTACTGTTGTAATAAGAATTGAGGTGGCAAAACAAGACTTTTATTCCTGTGTTCAAGAAGTGCAGAAAGGACTGAGACAGGGAACACAACATTTTTTTCCTAGGCCTTACAGGGTTAGGTAGCAGGGAGAAAGTTAATATTTGTTTCCAATGTTGTCAGGTTCAGTTCATTGAGTGTGTGAAGCTGTACTTCATTGTACAACACTACGTGGCGGAGGGGATGTTGGAACTAGCTGCAACGATCTCCTCTAGCTACTTGATATATCAGTGGAAGAAAGGGGAATACTGCTGCAATAAGTGAGTACCACTACAGCATTTAGCTTCTTTCTTTCTTCATTGGAATGTGGTCTGCATTAGACAGCTGATATTGTCATTTTGACATATTAGTGTCATAGAAATATTGTAATTGGTCAGGATTCACTAACATGGTGTTACACAGTCATGATACAGTCTGAAAATTGTTTGTGAAATAGCTATTTGAATGCTATAACAGTTACCGTTACTTTGTATACTATAGGGAGCTGGTCAGACAATGGTGCCAGATACAACATGCAGTAGAAAGCCCAGCCAACACCATACTGGATTCAGCCAGGACTCTTGCCTTTAAGAACGATCCCAAAGTTCTCCACCTCCTATATTTTGCCGAAGCCCTGCACAAAGAGGTAAGAAGGCTGCTCTCAACTTCTTGGTCAAGAAGAAAGTTTAGCATATGTATGCATAGTTGCAGTTTCTGAGTGAGGAAAGGCTAGTAGTACACACTGGATGAAGGATTATACATGCTTTGTCTCTACCAGTAGCAGGTACATGTAGCAGTAGTATTCCATATGATATCTTTGTGCTTTCATTATCATTTATCATTACTGCTTAAACATGGGCACTTAGCCATAAAAATTACCCTCTACAAAATTTAACATCATGAGATCAGATTGAAAGTGGACTCACCAGGCATTGGCAGTGAATGACCTTGCAGATACATGTACCTTTAAGATTTGCTAGAGCATCCTTATGACCTGTATGCAAGCCTATAGCACTGTGCTTTGAAGCTGTATCCAATATTCTATGTAAGAGAACCCTACTCAGACATGTGCATGACTACAGGTGGGGAAGGACTCCATGCCACTTGTTGCTGACTTGCTGCTGAGGGCCGTCGACATGGACAAGCCAGTCACGGACCCGTTCTTCCACCCCAACGCTCCCGATGACAAGACAGCGTACCACCACAGCGCCCCCACCATCCTCAACTACATGGCAGGGCTGCTGGAGGGTGACTATGAAATAAGGTACAGCAACAAAGGCTTATAGAAGGTGCTACATTTCTTGGCAATAAGCTATCTAAAGCCCCCATCACACATAGCCATCACACATGTCCTCCCAACCTTCTCCAGACCATGACTGGGAGGTAGTTGTGACCAGGGTCATCTTGATTTTGGCTTCGAGCCACACTTCTGGGCCTTCTTGCACGCCAAGTGTAATCTGCCCGTTTGACCCAGATTTAGCACTGTGGCATCTTGTGAGTCGATTTGCAACCCCTTGCGCTGTGGACGATTACAAAATTTTTGGACAACTATTAGTTTCTTGATTGACTCGGGTATAGAGAAGGTTTGTGTCTTTCTCCCCCCGTCCAGGTTTGCCAGTGAGCTGACATCCTTCTCCATCAGTCCTGACCTGGACCAGTACTACTTGGTGGAAGCTGTTGCCAACCTACCTGAGGAGGTGCAGGGCACAGGTGAGACAACAGGACAGTTTTTAACCTGTGGCACACTGATTTGAATACCAATTATTTATTGGTTATGTGGGTAGACAGCAGGGAGAACGTTTACCCCCTGGTCACTTGCCTGGCATATTTGATAAGATGAGGAAAATAAGATCTGAAATTACATCATGCTAGATTGGCTTTGAAAACATTGACTCTTAAGCCTGCTAGTATTAACTGGCAGACAAAATCTGTTGAATGATAAAAAGAAAGTGCATTATGTATTGAGATGAACACAAATGTGATAACATTTCCTTTTAATGATCTTCCATGTTAGAAGCTACATGCACCTCAGAATACAGTAGTAAAAGGTAGAACCTTAACAGTAGTACAAGGTACATGTAATAGGGGCAAAGAATACAGTACATTAAACCAAGGACAGGCATGATCTTGTCACTTTGCAAGATTTTGCTTAATAAGCTTGTGGCAATGAGCACTGCTGTACATATATTTACAAATATCTACTCACAGCCACTTGCTTACAAGAGTTGACATTTCAAAGCCATCTGTCATCTTCATCAGGGCTATAATGACTGGTTTGCTGTGCACTGAAGCTAGGTGTAACATATAGTTTAAATGTGTGATTACGTATGTAAGTGGTTTGTTTTGCCCCCACCCCAGGGGTGAACCTGAGCAGGCACAAGAGGAGAGACATCCTGAAGACCCTGCGCAAGCTGCGACCTCGCTCCTGTGGCCTCCACCCTGAGATGTCCTGGCAGCAGCTCAAGCCACACATGCTGAAACTACTGACTTCACAGGAGAGGAACAAACTCCTACAGGTATTCTACATGATTCTGGTACTTCTGGGGATGGAAGTATTGCTTTGGGTGGCTGAGCTGTTGGTTTCTGTGTCTGTTTTCCCAGACGGATCTAGGTTGACAGCATGTGGATGGGGGAAAGAGTGACATTCAGAATGACAACTCGAATAGTCATACACAGAGAATGGGGTGAACTTGAGAGTAGGTTGACAACATATGGGTGGGAATGATTGTCAGGCAGTGTGACAGGAGATCAAAAGGTCAGACATTGGAAATGTGGTCAACTTAAAAGTCATGAAAATCCCACTTCACAGAAGTCTAATATCTCTGATTTCTTAGGAGAAAGGAATACTGTATGCACCAGGACTGGTGTTTGTGTGTTTACTGTAAGTGCACTTCTTCTCACAAGAAAATCAGATGTAGAAAATAATAAACCTTGTTTTTGCCTCTTGTTTTCTTCACCCAGGAACATATTGAGGCAGCATGTGACATATCAGCCTTTGATGAGGAAGTGGGAAAATCTCCATGTAAAGCCACAGTCTCCAAGCCCAGGCTGACAGAGAAGGAGCCAGTTTGTAACATGTCGGAGTCTGATGATAAAGACATGGTAGTTTTCATCAGTGATAGTGATGAGGGGTCATGTGGGCCCATCAGTCCTATCTACAGTGGGGCCAGGTATGGACTGGATTTTATCACCCCTCCCAGGCCACCCAGAGCCAGTAGCATTGTAGACAATGTTGCCAAAGACAGTCCCTTTGTGGGAAATGAGGAGGTGATTATCTGTGAGAACAGTGACACAAGTCCTGAAAATAGAGACAAGCGGAAACAAAAAGTGTGCATGGAAGAGGAGTCGAGTGTTTCACAGGATGGCTGGTTGGAGTCAGTTGAAAATGACACCGACAGGAGCACGCCTGGTGGCACAGGGGTTGTGAGCGTGGATAAAATGGTGGACACAGATGACCTGATGGGAAGGATAATCAAAGACCAGGAGGAAGCAGTCGCAGCCAGTAAGAACTCCAGTGTACTGAGCAATGGTTTTGACGAGGGCAGGCATCAGAAGGGCTCCAGTCAGGCAAACTACCGTAAACAGAATCCTGCGGGGCAGGGTGTGAGAAAGTCACACAACAGCTGCAGGCACGTCACCCTACGCGACCTTCTGTGGAGAACAAATCCAGAAGATTTCGATTTCACGACTAAAACCAACGAGGAAGCTGCCAGTGCAATATCTGTGTCACCAACAGAAGGAGGTTGTGGTGAATGGCAGCAGCCGGTGGACAAAGAAGATCAGTCTATCAACCTGGCGTGTACAGGGACGCTAGACATCAATGGTTCTGTAGAGAACACTCCTAGCGATGTTGTTAGGGTTGGCAGAATGGAGGAGCTGCAACCAAAGTACGGCGGAACTCTTAGGGAGTGGGAAGGACTTGTTCCCCCAGATCCTTTGAATAACTACACCCATTCCACCGATCAAAGTGATGAGATTATGTCTCGTCGGTCACCAGAAAAGGGAGACATGTTTGACTTTAATTTGTCTGGAGACTTGATGGCTGAAAACGGCAGTGCTGACTCACTGAAAATCAAGGTGGCTGACTTAGTGGACAGCATGGACCAAGGAGGATCATGTGGTCCTGTTTTCTTGGTAGATCTAGGGACCAGTAGTACCCCTGACAACACTGTAGCTGCTGCTGAACTGAGAATGGTAGCACAACACGGCCATCAGAAATCAACACATGATAGTGTAGAGGCAGGAGGTGCCCCCAATGGGAGCAACCGATTGCAAAATACATCCCTTTCTAGGAAAAACATTTTTGAAGCTATTGCTGGTACAGCCAACGATACAACCAGGAGGCAAGACGGGGGCCCTTTCCTTTTGCCTTCATCCAAAGGTGAGACAGAAGTCCCCAAGGCAAAGAGGAGACCTTCAAAGCTGTCTCTGCAGCAAGTTCAACGAGAACTGGATGCTTTTGACAGGTCTAGTTTACTAAGACTGCAGGATCACCCTGACTTCATGCAGACTGTTGCACCAGCACATAGTTTTCACCCAACACTAAACTCGTGGAACAGCAGTGCTAGTAGCCTCAGTAGCAGGGGAGACACGGCCAGTAGTCATGAAGGGTATGATGGGAGCAGTGAGTGCAGTACCGAGACTGGAGAGACAACAGGAGCTGGACTGTTTCCCATCCAAGGTGCAAGCAAGCAGCAAAGGATGCAAAGAAATGCCTGGACAGCTTTTGGCTTCGAACAGAATGATATCACTCAAGGAGCGGGTGGAAGGGAGGGACTAATCTCCAATGCAAAGAAGAAAGCTGGTCTAGAGCCAGCTGAGCTGAACAACAGGTCTTTGGGCATGGGGGATAAGAAGAGTGCTCCAACTGCAAAGCCATTACAGTTCAACAAGCTGAGACAGATGTTGATGTCAGATAGTAAAGAAACTGTACCTGAGTTTGGCCAGGAGAAGTACACTGACCAAAGTGGCACCATGAGGCTGTCTGAGGAACATACAGATAAGACAGGACACTCAGACATGTCACCCCTCAAGCATCAAAGTGAGAGGACTATTGGAGTCAATACTGATGATGCCCGTAACACCGATTTGGGGTACATGATGAGGAAAGATGAACCATTTTCCTTGAGTCTGCCAGATTCAGACAGTAGGATTAACCAAGTGACAGAAGTTAAAGGCATACCAGAAAACATCACAAGTGAAGAGCTGCTGCGCATTCCACAGCCTATGCTGACAACAAAGAGAAGAGGTAAAGGAATGATAGGAATAAGGCCAGTGTCTATCAAAAGGCATGAGAACTACGCCTGCAATTGCTGCGAGTTTCATACGCGATATTTGAGCAACATCAAAAGACACATGGTCAGACATGGTGATGATAGCAATCGCTATACGAGGGACATTTCCTATGTGTGCCAGTTTTGCCAATTTTCAAGAAGCACCAGAAAGGAGTTGATAGCTCATATGACAAGCACTCATCAGCACAGCTTTCAAGACAGCTGGACACTGGATCCTTGGACAACAGACATGGCCTCTAGACATGCAGAAGCTGCAGAGTTGGCCATGACAGAAGACAGTTTTGTTGCACAAGAAGAGATCAGCTTTGACCACCACTCTTTGGCAAATAGTAGGGATGCCTTTGTGGCTATGTCTGACATAAGTGTTGCAGAGGTTAATGACTCCAAATCCAAGGTGGGCACGAAGAAGAGAAAAGGAAAGTGTCCAAAGAACTTGGCAGAAATACGAAAGAAAACCTGTGCAGAGCTGGCAGCAAAGGGCATTCCACACCTGCAAGACACAACAAATACGTTCAAAGATAGTGGGATCCAAAAGAGGCAGGAATTAGAAACTATGACAGTAGAGAATTATCAAGAGAGCGACAACTCTGCTTTGATGATGCCAGTACCATCCAGAAATGATGTTATAACTTGTACTGGTAACATACTTACTCTGAGGCCAACACAGCAGCTGCCCCAAACAGCCTTCTGCAACTTCAGTTCGTCAAAGGAAGAAGACTTCACAACATTGCTTCTGCAACCATCAAGAGATGCTATGCTTGCTCTGCCAAGAGAGTTGCCAGAAGTACCTGATCTAAAGCAAAATGGTGGTGCCAGCACCAACAAAATTCCAATGTTCAGTCATCATGGCTTCAGTCCACCAGAGATAAGGATGTCACCCATCGTGAGTCCACCTGTGATGTCCGTGTTAAGTCCACCAACCACGTTTTCACCCACAGCAAATACCAGTCCACCAAAGGGGTCATCGCACGTGAGTCCATCCAGGAGCAAAGATGAAAACCAGAATTTTGCACCCTCAACACTAAAACCTGCATCCAAGAAAGAGGGCAAGAAGGACTACAAAGCAACGTTCTTGTATAGTCTCCTCACAGAGAAGGATGAAACAGAGAGTGTTTCAAAGAGTCCTGGAACTGATCCATTAAAGGAGAGTAGAAGCCACGAGTCTCTGGTTCCTCCGCTGTTGTTCCCACAGGACACGGAGGTCCCTGCAGCTGTGATGCAGAGCATGTCCCCTCCCTCCCTGCTGCCTCAGACTGCTTTTGCTGCTAACATTCCCAACAGCTACAACTTTGCTACCACTTTTAGTCCTTACCAGATTGGACTGCAGCCACCTGTTGGATGCTACAATGTCAGTAGTCTTCCCTTGGTGGGCACCCCCCAGTTGTATGACAGAAATGAGGGACATTTTGTGCCTGTGGAGAAGAAGACACGCAGCAGGAAAGAGAAGAACAGTAACTCCAGGAAGCAGGGTGCTCCCATTGTAAGTGCTGCTATCCCACCAACGTTCCTAAACATTCCCCGGCATGCAAAGTACAGCTCCGTCAGCCATGTGCCTCACAGCAGCCCTCTGCCCAGCAGCCACACCGGTATCTCAACATTTAGGCCTTCTCCGTCCCAAGGGAAAGCGGGCAATCGGAGGTGGACACACGACCAACATTCCCCATATAGGAGTGGGCTGCCAGATGTACAACCATACGGAGAACCTGGTGAATTATGGTGGCAGAGTCAGGCTTATTGGTGGAACTCTCCACAGCCTGGCACAAACCCTGCTCACACCAGAAGCAAGCCTCCCAAAACCTCACGCTCGCCAGCCAGGCCAAAGAGTCATACGGTGACCACAAATGAGATGCAGCCGCTAGACCTGAGGACGACTTCAAGCACCAGAAGTAGCCCTTCGGCTAACCATGTGTGGGCTAGCCATTATGTCGGAACTGACAATGATACAGTTGGGCTACCTATTGGGCAGTCCCAAAGACAACCTGTACAAAGTAATGGGACAGCCTCATCCCCCATGAGCATTGATCAGGTACTGTTCTCACATCAGGAACAATCAGAAGGATGCCCTCCTCCAACAGAAAATGTACAGATACAGGAAAGTGAAGATGAAGGCCAAAGTCCTGCCAGAAAGCCTTTGTCTGTCCCATACATTCCGGTCCATGAACACCACACTGTCACCAATAATATAAAAGAGAAGGATGATAGGAGGTCAACTGTGACAACATTCAGTACCTGTTATCAAAGTGGAGAACTAACTAGTATGGCAGAATACTCAGAGAAAGCAAAGGAAAACTCTGTCAGTGTTGAGAAGATTGAGACTACTGGAGTGACCTGTGGAAATGCTGCTGTGGAGGTTAGGCAGGGAGACTCAGTTGATGGGCAAGAAAGCCACAACCTGACACTTCAGATGGCAGCAACTTGGAATGAGGCCAACGGCATTGTTAGTGCAACCTGTAATGATGCAGGCAACATAAAAGTGGCTGGGGATTCAGGTGCACCAGAAACTACAACAGAACATGTTGGTGGTAGTTCAATAACACTCAATGACACCAAGGAAGCAAATGTTGGTGGACTCAGTGCAAGAAAGGCACCAGAGGACACTGATCCAGCTTATATCCCCTCAGGGCACTCTGAATCTTCAGGTTCAGTTGCATCAGACAGAGTGCTGAAATTGTTTTCCTATGCAGACAACTTTTCTGATGATGACGTCCTAGTACCTGATAGCCAACTGACAAGCTGGTTGAACACGAAGGAAGGATATGATGCTGACAAGACAGCCAATGAGGTAGAACCTACTCAAAGTCCATCAACCAATGATAAGCCTTCAGTTCATGATGTAATCCCATCGAGTGAGGTACAACTAACTGAAAGCTACATTAGCAGTGAAGAAAGTTCTTCAGCAGAAAGCAGAAAAACAACAACTGATACAGTAGCAGTTCATGGGCCTTTGACGTATGACCAAGACTTGTATGTTGATGCTGCTGTAGTAGAAATGGATGATACTTTCAAGTCTGATAGCTCATCTGATGTTCAACCACTATACACTCGCAAGTTTGAGTCAGATCACACCTCCATTAATGAAGCAATACAGGCATGCAAGGCTGAACCTGAATGGACTTCCAACGTTGAGACTTGCAAGATTGAACCCAAACATACTTGCAATGGGGAACTACAACACTCTTGTAAGACTGAACCAGAACACACATGGAACGTTGAACCAGCACACTCTTGCAAGGCTGAATTAAAACATACGTGTGGTGCCTTGGATATGCAGGAAGCCACACAGAACATTGCCCGACCAGTTAGTGATACCTCAACAGATGGCAAGGATGCAGGAGTCATTGGTAACAGTCAGGCAGTCTTGAATGGTAAACAAAGCACTTCTACCAAGGGAGAGAATTTGTGCTCTGCCCCATTGCCCCAGGGGAAAACTCCAACAGCTAGGAAGCCAACAAGTCCAGAACCAGACCCTACAACTGAAGATGATGAGCCGAGCATTCATTATACTGGCCATGAACAGACTGAGACTAACAGTACTGGATACAGGGGTCCTATGACCAGAAAGAGAATGTCATCTGATGCAATACCGTCCAGCAATAACTCATCAGAGCAGAGAAAAAAGCTTAAGACATCACAAGATGAGACAGAAATATCTGTTGAAGCAGAAGGAGACAATAGCAAAAGTAAGATTCCCCCCATGGTATCTACTACTTCAACTGTAATAAAGGAAGAACCTGTGTTACCTTCACTAGAGTCACTTGAAAGGAACAAACCCTTGAAAGGCCAGTTGATGTCTACCCAAGAGAAGTCAGGGAGGAAGGGAAAAGCACGTAAAATACTGCGTAAGAGTGTGTCTGCTGGTAGGAAGAAAGGAGCAAGTCCAACAGTGTCAAACAAGACAGTAGAGGCAGCGGCCATCAGTGGTGACGCTCTCACAAGTGAGGTTTCAGGGGAGGGTCTGACATCACAGCAAAGGGAAAAGTCAGTGACAAGTGAAGAATCTGTAGGACTTGGTTTGTGTACAAATGTCAAGGGATCAAAAGATACTAAAAGTGCAGAGTTATTGGAGAGTGATGCTTCACATGATTCATGTGTGACCCCTCAGAACACATCTGGAAGGAAAGAGAAAACATCAAAAAGATCTCCAAAGCGTAGATCTGTAGGCAAAATGAAAGTAGAAGAGAGTCCATTCTCCTCTTCAAAGGAAGAGCTAGGCACTACCGATGAGCTTGTAAGAGCTTCCAAGGAAGATGCATCATCACACACACAGGAGCTTGAAGACTTAACACCTACAGAATCCAATGTATCTGCGGAACCTTCTGAAAGCAAGGGTGATCTGCAGAGTCTAGTAATATGTTCACAGAACAATTTAGTACCAAAAGAAAATGCAAAACAAGGTCAAAAGAGAGGCAGATACACTGGTAGGAAGAGCAGAGCAGAGTCTGGTCCAAAGGAGACAACTGCTCTTACTGACAAAGAGTCAGGAAGCAATGTTTCTGAAGACGATTCAAGTACACGTAAGGCATCTGTGGACAGGACAGAAGAAGAAAAGGTTTCCTCATCACTAGGAAATTCCATGAAGAAATCTACCAGTCTGAAAAGCAAGACAAAACCATGGTCACCTTGCACAGACAAACCAGCAACTTCAGAAGCATCAAAGAGCAAAGGATCTTTGCAGAAGTCACCAGCCATCAAAGAAGGTAAAAAAGTAAAGACATCTAAAAGTCAACAAAAGGGCAGGCGTGTTGCGGAGAAGAAATTAGAACATCCCGCATCTTCTTCAGAGGAAAAGCCAAATCTTGGCACCACAGATGAGTTTGCAAGTCAGACGTCTGAGGATGATACTCTGGCACCAAAAGGCAGACCTTTGGGAGGAGGAGAGCCCTACAAGCTCAAGAAGAAGGCTCCTTCTGTTCAAGGGAAAACTATAAGGAGGAGAGTTGCTAGACAAAGAATGATGCAAAACTCTTGGTCATCTGCAGAGGAAGATACCGGTTCAGAGATAATGAGAAATGATCAGCCATCTTCAACAGCCCAGGAACAGTTTGAAATGACAAAGCAGACTGTTAAAAGACAACAAAAGATGAGATCTACTGGTAGGAGGAAAGTAACAGATTCTAAAGTGTCTTCACCAGAGACGGTTTCAACTGTAAGTCCTGAACATGACAGCAAGAGTTCTCAGGACACCACATTCTCACAGCCACTGGAAGTGTCAACCCACTGTGATGAGACCAGCAACCTCACGGGCAGTATGGGGGCAGAAACACCAGCTTTGTCTCCAGGTACAGGTACAACATCAGGTGAAGTAGTCACATTGGAAGGTGGTAAACCTCAGAAAAAAAGCAAACCTCGTTTATTGGTCATAGAGAACAGTGCGAAAGCTACTGGCGCTCCCAGAAGGAGCTACAGGAAGAGGGTACCTTCCTGCAAGATAATGGGCAAGACAGTTGTTGTGTACAGCAAAGTTAGGTCACATACCTCTGAAGAAAGTAGTAGGGAAGAATCTGATGATAGCCACGTATCATTCAATCCTCCAAGTACCAGGTGGACGTACAGCAGAGAAGATAAGAAAAAGTACCAGGAAAAATCAGTTCTGACTCAGGAGTCAGAGGTAAAAGGTACAGAGACAATAGACCACCCATCCTCTGAGTCAGTAGAGCTGGAGATGCCAGTGTTGGAGGAACAAAACATGAATCCTGTTGGCAATGACATTCCTCACACAAAGCCAAGTGAAACACGAGTAGTGGAAAAAGGCACAACCAGGAGGCGGTTGCGAAGCGGTTCACCAACCGGTGTTTCTGTTACAGGAGGAACAGGAGAAACAAAAGCAAACATCGCTGATCCCAGTTTGATGGAACAGGTAGACCCTTCCAGTGTAACCTCACAAAAGCCTATGGCTACTAGGCAGAGGAGGAAAAGTTCTGTAGATGACACACTAAAGTCTCTTTCACCTGAGAAAAGCTCAGTTCCATTTCCAGGAGGGACTAAAAGAAAGACACCAAACAGTAAAATGATTGATCCTGCCTCACCTAAAAATGGAAAGAAAGTTGCAGGTTCTGCCATGAACTCAGCAACTGGTCGAGCGTCAGGAAAAAGTGCCAAGTCTAAGCAGCATTGTGCACCTGTCTCTACAGATGGTAACAAAAGTAGAAAAAAACAAACCTCTGGGAACAATAAGTCCTTCAAGAAGCCTACCCCAAGCTCTGCGACAAAATCAACTGGAGTGAAGACTAAGGTCAAGAAAGGGAAACAAGAAGCTGCACCCCAGAAGAAGAAGTCAACAGGAGTTCCCAAGAGACTACTTGTCACCAAGGCAAAGTTGCCTCCTAAAAGTGAGTTTTCTCTGAGATCCAAGTCTTCTTTGAGGCCTTTTTTCCCTATCAAGTAACCATACCATAGACAAAATGATACAAAATGTCTTTCAATCTCCACCCAGGCACTGATTTTTACAAAGAACCTCTCATAGCCTCAAGGAAAAAAGATGTTCCTTTATTCATTATGTTATACTGGAATGGCAAAAACTTTTTTGGGCATCTGTGTACTACTCAGCACCCGTAACTTTTAGTTTTTTTTTTTAATCTTTCTTTATTTGATGTTCATAAATGAACAAAAAAGCATGGCAATATATAACTGATACATTGTCGTACCGCAAAACAAATAATAATAAACCTGAGAACAGAAATAGCAACCCCAATGCCGAAAACATATCATTTATCTTTTAGTGTAGATCACAAATTCATCCTTTAGAATAGATCACAAATTATCTAAGTATATAATATATTATCTATTAGCTGCCTACTACATGTGCCTATCTTTAAACAGAAAATACAGTATTAAAATTCCCCCATTTTCCTTTCAATATGTTTATGTACTTTATCTTGTCTGTATGCAATGTTCAATTCTAGTTTGTAAATATAGGAACTTTAGTTTTTAGTTATTCTTCTTTTTCAAATGCTGAAGTAAATTTTATTTTATTCCACAGGTAGCAAGCCAAAGAAAAAATGATACAGCACCACTACCAGGAACGTAGCAAGATGGAAGAATACAGAGGCCCTGCAGGTTCAGCATTACCTGTTTCATTGTACACGTAATTTATGCATTACTAACTTTCTTGAGCCAATGCTTTATCTATTGCCAGTGAGAAAAGGCTTTCAGCTATTCTATGCTATGCAGCAACGAGAGATGTCATTGATCAGGGTACTTAGCTTAAAGTTTATCATAAACTAGGCCAAAGAAATATAAACTGTTTATATTTCTCTGGCCTAGTTTCATTGTACTACATGTATAGTACATTCTACGTTCCAGTAGTATTTATCACATGTACGAGCTTTGTCATTGTAAAAGTACCTCCTCTTTGTAGAGAGGGAACAAGATCGAGTAAGAGGACTTTTAGAACTAGAGTTGTGCCATCAAGGTGTCAGCAGAGGGTTTAGAAGTTTTCATGTAGCAAGTTTGACAGTTATACTGAACCATTGTGCCTTGCAGTCCATGACTATTCATGAAGGATAAGGGAAATAAGTGGGAGGTTTAGTGATGAGACAGAAGATGCTGCTGTTTATCATCCCCAGAAAACATCTGGATGTACAAATTCTTGCCCATAGTGAGAATGAAAGATGACAACTTGCCAAGGCTGTTTCATCCACATCTCAGGTAAACATCTTTTTCACTGATAATAAGAGAAACTTCCGTCTAATGTGGAAATCTAAGTCAAAGGAGCATTAAGAAAAATTACAGCCAAGAAATATTACAGCCAAGATACATGTACCCAGTACATAAGCAGCAAAATTGCCAGAAGTTTTGAAAAAAGATTGTAGTAGGCTCTGAGGCAGTGCTTTACATACGGGAAATTTATTTATTTTTTACTTTTGTTTTTCCTATCCAATAGCGTTGGTAATGAAACGTTTAACATGAGTTACAGGAAATCCTCAAATACAGGCTTTGTCAAAAATAATAGAAAAGGTTGTGATGTGTGAAAATGTTCACTCAAGTTCCTCTTGCAGGTCAACCCTTATGTACATGTAAATGTTTTTCTAATGTCCTTCATCTTTTTTTCTATAAACATGCCTTTACATATTTTTTGTCATTATGCACCTGGTTCAGGTGTTTTTTTCCTGAAACAGATATTTATTTTGTTTTTCCATGTTGATATTTGTATATCTGAATATTTGTTGAATTATTCTACACTTTGTCAAGAGTAGCAACTGAAATAATTCGCATGATTGTCTGTGCTGGGTTAAGTGGCCAAATTATCTGTAGTAAACTTTAGCATCAGTTTTCTTTGGATATTCTACTGTTACAACAATATCTATCAATAGTGTTATATATGCTGGTAACTACTACTTTTGTTAGATGTGGGTGCATCACTTGTGTGTTAATTCATTCCTGCATAAATTAAGGGGAAAAATCAGGAGTTAGAATTAAGCCAAACAGTTCATGTCTGTTGGCCCCTTATCTTACTCAGTTACTGTTAGTTTCTTACTTTTTGACAGTTTGAGTAATTTCAAGTTAACATAACTCTTGCTGCTTATGTAGCCCTGTGTACACTGGACCAATGTGGTCCATTGTAGAAAATGGTTTCAAGCAAAGAACCTGTTTGTATATTTATCAGTTTATTTGAAAGTTAACTTTCAATTTGGTTACATTTTCTGTTATGTTAAGACATAAAAGCATATGTTATATGTTACTTGGTTGCAGTTGCCTCTGCAGTTGTGAGAGCTTTTTTATAGTATATTAAGGCAAGGCAAAATCATATGAGGATATATATATTATGTACTTCAATCAAGTTTAACATGTTCATAGTGTTGTTTTTTTGCAATAAAGGTTTATCCTTCACAATCAATGGTTTTAAATACAGGTATTTTCCATCTTTATTGTCATACAATATGCTGTTATGACTCAAGAGTGAATATAGTGAGTAATTGTTGATACATTATGATCATATACATATACAGACATTTGACAGGATCAGTCACAATTTTACAGATTAAATTTGGTATAGTATATACATGTAGACCTGTGCTAATAGGTATGTACAATAGACTTTCCTTTGAATACACCAGTGTACAAATATGTTGTCTACGTTTAAACCCTGCCCTCACCCTACTGATGAGAGTAGCAATGTACGTCAGCAAACTAATTCCAAAGCTCTAACTTAAAGGCAACAGTATCTTCTTGATAAACTAGTTTTTTCAAGTAGTGCTGATGCCCTTTGACAGTGACATATATTAATACATGGAAGTCTGAACAAACGTTTGAATAAATAGCTGCATATTTACAGTTGCCTTTACAATGTTTGCACTCAAAGATTTACCTGTTCACAGCTCACATTATAGTTCCTTCTTGAAACCATATTGTTTCAGATCTTATAAGCATAGAGAACAAAATGTACATTTCTGTTTTTAAAAAATGGGCACTTAAGTCATTAAACATTCTTGTTGACAGGACCCGCCTTGTCTCTAGGCAACCAGCGCCCATCTCTCTTGGAGAACAGAACGTCCATGTGCTTCTGCAGTTTTTCCCTCTTAATTCTCAGTTCCTCTTCATCTTCCTGCATTTCAGAAAGAAAACAGTATTAATATAATACTATTATACACTGGTATTGCTTTAGTTGCAGGTAATATTAAGTCGTGAAACTTTTGCAGTCATTTATATTGTAGTATATAACGTAGGAGGGAAAAAGGATGTTTTCACCTTTTTTTTAACAGTTGAAACAATTCTGTAGTACTGTCGTAATACAAGGAAGAGATGTTCATGGTTGCATGATTTTGCAGTACAATAGTGAAGAGTTCACCACAAAAAGAAAATTTCGTGCAGATTTTTTTTGTGACAAATGGGTTTCTGTTTAACTGAATAACAGGTTTGGTGCTATGGCAAATGTGCACTTTAATTTGAAATGTGCTTATTTTAGATTACTTACGTCAAACCTATCCTGTTTGTAATGTAGAAACAAAAAGCATGGTTTGAGCTTATGTCTTAACACTGCAAAACAATACTATGACTCAAAACAGCTGCATGTTAGTACCATAATTTCAAATCAAATGTTACTAAGTTTTAATCATTTTGATATTATATACTGTGAATGTACCTAGTAGACATGTTATACACAAAGTCGTTTGTATTTCACACATACTATGCTACTTACATGAGAGCAAAATCCAACATACCCACAATCAACTAAAAGTTTCCTCATTTTTTATTCCTTTAGATCCTTACAAATCTACAATGTACTTGCAAGTAGCACTTGGTCATAAACTTCCACCAAACTTCCCTTGTCATAGTTACTAGTATTCCATGTGCATGATTTATCAGCAGGATGCATTGTGTTGAGACTTTTTTCCTGACAACTGTTCGGGTCAACAGTTCTCACAGTGTGTTGTAGGTTGAAAATTTTTCTCAAGAACATTGCCCTACAAGAACATCCCCATCTCATTTTTTCAGACTCTTTTGCTGACAACTGTTCAGGTGTTCTCACATAGTCTGTTGTAGGTTGAAAAATTTTCTCAAGAGCATTGCCCCACAAGAACATCCCCCTCTCATCTTTTCATTGGTTGACCAATGGAGCCAAGTTTTTACACGTACCACGTTGTGGAACCTCTCTACAAATCCTCGTTGCTGCTCTGTCTTGGTGATGCCGGTATCGTCCACCTTGTTCTGACTGCTGAGCGGCTGGGAGTACTTCAGCTGCTCCTTCCTGAGCTGGTCCGAGGACAGCGACTGTTCCATTATAAGCACAATCTGGGCCCACTGCAGTTCCAGAGAGAATAGATAGGAGGCTCATGCACAAGAAAACTCAACTGTATAATGTTGTCCTTTGACCATAGTGAGAGTCAACAATGTTTTTCAATACTGCTTGCCAACTCTGTAATTGATTGCCTATGAGCCATTATGGAATTCATCATAGAATTGACTCAATTCTTTTGGTTAGCCACTGGTTTGTACAGTTATAACTTGGAAAAAGTATAACTTATGGAAGAAGTGCCGCCTTGGCCTCAACCCCCCCAGCCAAAAAAACAATGCACACAAAGTGGCATATTCTGATAGCTGGACTATACAGTAGTGCCACCAATATTTAATGTTGTAAAGTAACCAGTAGGAGGTTGCACCTGTCTGAGCCACTCTTTCCTGGTCTCCTGGATGGACTGGTAGGTGTTCCCCATCATGGCAATCAGCATGTTGATTAACAGGATGGTTACCAGCCCCATGTACAGCATAAACACAGCCTGAACAAACACAAAGTCAGCTGTAGGTACAGTATGGCTACCAGCCCCATGTACAGCATAAACACAGCCTGAACAAGCACAAAGTCAGCTGTAGGTACAGTATGGCAGCGAACATTAAAACAGACATTCTAGTTAATCAAAAGTCATCTCCTAAGTCACTGGGCCTCCAAACTTCATTTTTCAACAACATCTACTACAACTATTCTTCATTTTTGCCATATATCACACACCTTTGCCAGAAAGGGGTGCCTGATGTGGTCAAAGGTTTCATACATGTCGGCAAATTCTCCGAAGGACATCACGATCATCCCCATGATGGACTCGAGCGGGTCCGCGAACTGGTTGTAGGTCAGAGTGGACCTGGCCGCTCGGAAGATCACAAACATCACTAGAGGCAAACAAAAGCAAACAAACTGAGTGATGTTACAGTAATATGCAAGTATAACACTGTGGAAGGCTGTTCAGTACCAAGGTGGGAGGGTACAGGATAGTACAAGGCAGTGGAAGGCTATTCAGTACCAAAGAGCGGAGGGTACAGAATAGTACAGGGCAGTGGAAGGCCGTTCAGTACCAAGGTGGGGAGAGTACAGGATAGTACAGGGTGGTGGAATACTGTTCAGTACCAAGGTGGGGAGGGTACAGGATAGTACAGGGTGGTGGAAGGCTGTTCAGTAGCAAGGTGGGAGGGTACAGGATAGTACAGGGGAGTGGAAGACTGTTCAGTACCAAGGTGGGGAGGGTACAGGATAGTACAGGGGAGTGGAAGGCTGTTCAGTACCAAGGTGGGAGGGTACAGGATAGTACAGGTTGGTGGAAGGCTGTTCAGTAGCAAGGTGGGAGGGTACAGGATAGTACAGGGCAGCGGAAGGCTGTTCAGTAGCAAGGTAAGGGGGTGAAGATAAAACAAGGTTATTTGGAACAGTTTTCTGCTTTCCTGTAATACTTGTATGTTCTATTAATGTCAGACTTGGCAAAGAATTATACCAGACGAGTTTTCCATTACTCTTGACGACAGCACCTACCTTGTGAGAAAGCCATCACAAACACTGCATAAATGATGAGGAACCTCAGGATATCCCCTTTCAGCATCTTGTAGATCATCACCACAAATGGCCCCACCAACTTAAACCCCCTGGAAATAGAACAACAGTTGTGTCACATAATACTGTAAATCACAATTTTTCGCAGTACCTTTATATTCGCTGTCATTTCTGCACCAGGAACTTATCATTAATGTGCACAAATAATTCGCTGACTTTCCTTTTGCTGCACCTGCCACTTCCACAAACATGTCCCTTTTTCTTAGACCATGAACTCTTGCTACAAGAACAAAAGTCTTAACTTAAAACAGTAACGTTTGAGTGTACGCTGAAACCTTGCACTCACCTGAAGAAGAAGAGGAAGTAAGGTGTGGTTGTACAGATAGTGAGGATGCACACCACGTCCTCATACTGAGGAGCGCAGGCCGCCCTGCCTGGGATCATCATCATCACAAACACACAGGAGATCACGTACAGGGTCTTGGCTGGAGCTGTCAGCTGGAGGACACATAGAGGAGACAAGGTAAAACACTATACTACTGGTAGGTTATGGTATGGTACGTCAACAACAATTGGAATGTTGGGTGAGCATCAAGACCTGACATCCTTCTGGTTGCCAAAGAGACAGCAATACTAGTAGTTTTGAGAGTTTTCAAAATCTGAACTTAGTCTCTGTGCTCAAGGGTTTTAACATATGAATGAAAAAAATAGTACATTATGTCATGTAAAGTTTTCTAAAAATTGACTGTTGACAGGACAGAGCAGCATAATTATGTCTTCATAACACAAGGTTGTTTATTATGTACTTACCAGCCCCAGTAGGAAAGTCTTGATTCCCTGATGGTAGATCTCCATGGCTGAAGACAGTAGGACCAGCACAGCTCCCAGTAGGGTCAGGATCTCCATGGCCAGACGTACCTAGCAACAGTCAATGCCCGTTATGGTCAAAGTGTATTTTAAGTGTAATTTGTGTATTACAAAGTGTATGGCAGTCAATATGTACTAGTATTATAGCCAAGGTGTATTGCGTGCCATCAAAGTGCATTACAGTATATGTATGTTACAGTCTAGGTGTATTACAGCTGAAGTGTGGAGGATACAGGATAGTACAGGGTGGTGGAAGGCTGTTTAGTACCAAGGTGGGGAGGGTACAGGATAGTACAAGTTGGTGGAAGGCTGTTTAGTACCAAGGTGGGGAGGGTACATATAGAATACAACACGGGGTATTCCGTATCGCTTGAGGTATCGGCTCGACCACGATGCGGAATACACCGTGTTGTATTTTATTTATGTCATACCCACCCAAGAAAACACGCCTTTCATTGCAAGATGAGCCAAAAGTTGGTGCCACTGAACCCTAAACTGCAACAACATCAATTCCAACGTCCGGATTCTGTATTCGAATTTTCGAAAGGGGCACACGAGCTTAGGGTGAAACGCGTTCGAATCGTTTTATGGAACCAGGGAAGCGTTCGATAACGAGTTCCGGACCGGGCTGTACCGTAAAGTACGACCTACTCCTAACCATGGTTGTGGGGCATTCGCATATTGTTTGGGAGGTCAAATTGGTGAATGTGTTTAGGGGTTTAGCTACATGTCCCATACCTTGTCTTGAGGTGTGACCAGGGCCTGCAGGTAACATGGGTCATACACAGTCTGGTTCACCAGCGTCGTTGTCCCGTTGATGATGATGATGGTTCCATTTTCATCCGTCTGGTTCACAGTCTGGGTTGTTGTTCCCAGACTCTACGTGAAGTGGACGAATAAAATGATTGTGAACATTGCAAATGCACAAAGAAACTGTTGCAACTTACACTGAGCCCATCTCTTACTATTAATCATTTATTTCCAAACAACTTTGTTCCCTTTCCTTTGATGTCTGTACGATAATGATTGAATGGATCCTATATGCTATTTGACCTTGAAAAGTATGGCCTGATAGTTGTTGACGGCACTACATTTTGACGGCAACTCAATAGACATAGATCAATACGTACCACATGAGGCCGCAGGAAGAAGGCAGTTGTCAGAAATATCAGGTAGATGAAAAACGCCACAAATCGCCAGTAAAACCTGTAGATTTAAGGCAAAGATGGGTCACTGATTGTTACAGAACAACAATTCAACAGAAACGTTCACAAAAACCCAATGCCCATGTATTATCATGGAGTCCAGCAGACTTGCTTGGTTGTACTTTTTTTTTACAATCACAGAAAGTTGGAGGCTTTATTCACCTTTTTCTGGCATAAGTCTTCCACTTTGCACGCAGGAGATTGTAGATCAGGCCATCTATCATGTCAACATGCTTCGCCTGGTCCTGAAGCATCAAAAATATAACAGGAACACTTAATACAAGGTTCACATCAATGTGTCGATTTGTCTCAAAAATATGTGATGAAAAATACTTTCTTTTTGTTGAGGATCCTTGAGGGTTTGGTACATTCGCAGTATTGCATTGAACTTAAGGATATTATGTCCAAAATAAGTGATGAAAACAGCCTAGTACACAAAATTGGGTACAAAATGTATGTGAAATGTGAAATGTGCATTTCACTTTGTAAAAACATCTGTCAACATACCCCTTGGATGATGAGGGAGAGTGCAGACTTCTTGTTGATTTCTCCTGTAGGTGTGATCTGTAGGACAGGAATGGCAGCAGAAATGTTTAAACTTCAGGTAAAATGTGATATCACTGATAAAATTCTGCCTTACTAGGCTTGATATCAATACCACAACTGCCATTTCAATCACTGTAATCCGTATCTTGCTATACTTTGGCCCGATTTACATGTGCGTCGTTTATATGTGTTGGGCGTGAAACAATGAGCATGCGCGCGCGGCGCCGCACTGCGCGTTTTGTGCGACAGATTTTTTAGCGTGTAAACAACCTCCGCCACAGACACACAGCGCTGCGCGGCAGTTTTCCTGTGGCACCTCCTGGACGTGCCACAGAAAAACGACGTACGTGTAAATCGGGCCTTAGTCTAACCCCACCTCTTCCCACATGACTTCAATGAAAAGTGGCCAGCAGGCTGGTTTGAATATTTCATGAAACAAACAAACAAAGGCTCAAACAAACAAACAATAACTCACGGTGTCCAGGTCGGTGAGGTTGTAAGCAGCACATGTGACCTCCCCGTACGTCCAGTAGACCTCCCTCTCCGTCTCCAGGATGTGCTGAAACATCTTCTTCCTGCCCAGTTTGGAGGCCAGGGTCAGCGGGGTCAGACCCTGCCGGTTCTTCACACAGGGCGAGGCACCACTCTCCAACGCAAGGTTATACATTTTCTATAAAAATTTAAAGAATAATAAAAGCATTTATTTAAGTGTGGTGTGAGTTTCTCACAACAGAGAGGAATAAATCTTGATTCTTGTCAACTTTGATTTACATCTTAAAGTTTGCAGTACCAGTGTTATCTGCTAGGTGCACTCTTTCCAGTTAACTGGAGTTGGTAACTTGTATGATGTGCCATCAAAGTGCATCACAGTATGTGTATGTTTACAGTCTAGGTGTATTACAGCTAAAGTGTGGAGGATACAGAATAGTACAGGGTGGTGGAAGGCTGTTCAGTACCAAGGAGGGTAGGGTACAGGATAGTACAGGGCAGTGGAAAACTATATACAAGATGTATTCAGTTTTGTTTAACCAAAGAGGTTAAACTTAAAGAGTATAATATACATGTACTTCTAGTAGACTGTGGTCTTGAGAATGGTAAGAACTTGAAATTCTACTGCAACAATATTTGTTTATTTGTTTGTTTGAACCATTCTTTATTCAAGAGATGCTCAAGTTGGCCTTCAATAATAATAATTTGTGTTACATTGTATTATCATATAATACTTTATTGTTAAGAAAAGAAGAATGATCTGGAGCACGTACAGGTTTGTTCTGTATGACCATGTGGTGCAGCACAGTGTTGCCGTTGTTGTCGGCCAGGTTAGGGTTGGCTCCAGCCTTCCTCAGGAGGTTAAACATCTCCTTCTGTTCCAAACAGGCTGCAAAGGACAGTGGGTACTCCCCCCAGTATGTATACCTGGACAGAACACATGGTGAAAATCTTGAAATGCTACATTTTGTATCTCTTTGAAAGGAGGGAAATTCTTGAGATTCTACTCTAACTTTGTCCTTCTTCAGATAAAAGTTCTCTTTCGTTGCCAAAAGATTAGACATCCTTCTACCATCTATAATTGAATGATCACTTGTTACTTTAAAGTTTAACTTTGCTTAACTTAACTTTTTCATATCCTTTTTCTGAATCTCTTCAATTCAATATCCCCATTGCAAAGATTGAGAACTTTGTGAGTCACATTTCAACGAAATCTCTATTACAAGAGGAAAATAAGGTCAGGATGGTACATACCCCTCATAGTTTGTCTCCATGGACACCTTAACCCACTCATGTTCCAAGGAGTCCTCTCTTGTCCCCTTCTGGTCCTCTGGACAGAAGAAGTTTCCACAGCATCTCTCTGGAGAAGGTAACAGTGATGAATAGTGAATAATTATTGTCTTTAAGGTGTAATTTCATATTAAGGTATTTAACTTGAGATTTTATGAATGTGTATTTAGTGTTTACTGCTATGTTTCTTATTAGAATATGTGATACTAGTGTTTTTAAGTTTCACGTTATAACGTGTTTTGACTACATTTGTAATGAATCGGCAATTCGGCCTTCGAGCTGCAATTTATATTTGAATAAACGATTCATCATCATCATCAAAATATTTATACCTGGCAGTTTACGAGTTAGTTTGCTGTATCTCCAAGCAGAATTGTTTCGCTGGCCATGGCAATATCCAATAGAGAAGACAGTATCCAACAATGACCCAGATTGATTGAACACCTTTTGATTCTATTAATCTTTGCTAGCCCTCAAAAATTTGAATATTTTTTTTATATCGTGATAAATAAATCATGATAAATTGATCTTATTGGAGATCACCTTTATCTGGTGGGAAGCTTACCTGTTACACTCGCTCCATGGTCGACAAAATATTTGACCATGTCTTGGTCCTCACTTACTATTGCCATATGAAGGGGAGCCTCACCTGTACATAAGTATAAAATAAGAGGTGTTTAGAAAGGGTGTTTATTAGAAACAGGTGTTTATTAGAAACAGGTGTTTATTAGAAACAGGTGTTTATTAGAAACAGGTGTTTATTACAGACAGGCATTTATTACAGACAGGTGTTTATTACACAGATGAGTTACAGCTGGTAAAGATATTCTAATTGTTGGAGGACATTTGAAAGCTCCTGCGAAACATTTTCCCATGTACCAAGGAGCCCTGCTGTCCACAGAATAAGGTGATGTCTTTGCCAAGTTTTTAGAGATTTGAACCATTGGCCTGACTTTAACAACACTGATTTGATGGGGCTGGTTCAAGTCATATAAAGATAAAATGGATGGCAGACTCTTCATGAATCATCTGTCAGTAGGTTTGATTTGAGTGATGAAGTGAAAAGACAAAATCAGCCTTTCAAAATTACGACATGTAAAGTATGCACCTTGATTTGCGAATCACGTTTCAACATTCGAAAAGCTTGTTGTCGCAACGGGATACAAATTCCTTCCTTTGTCGTGTTTCCTGTTTTTCAGCGCGTGAATGGCGGGGACCTTGACAAGGCCGCCTTTTCAGGAGAATAATTGCCTGATCCGCTTCATTTCGCGAAAGTAATGGTCGCCTTGGTTAGGCCACGCCGTACGTGACAACTTGGACGTGGTACGGATGAGGTGAAGTAAGTGTCAGGGGCACTGATGCATAACAGCGACCCCGCGCCCTCCGATACGCACCACTTCGCCAAAATGACACGTTTCAATTAACTCGTCGAAAATCCCTCATTATCAGTTCCTTCCAGGCATGAAACCCGGTATCGAGGAGCAGCGCCATCGATTTAACTAATCTCAGCAAACACCACCGTGTGGACACAGCTAATCCCACCTTCATTAAGAATGTGGTCGTCGCGGCGACCATATCTCCAGGAAGGGGGCAAAGTACATCACAGCTGAAAGGCTGGGATTAATCGCCATGGCAACAAGGAGCCGAATTGGAGCCAGACAATCCTAATGACAGGAATATTTGACGGGGTTTGTCGGTAAACTTTGAGACGGGATCACGGTGGGGACTTACCAGTTTGATTGATAATCTTCTTCCCGACTATAAAAAACACGACTTTCGAGCTTTAAAAGCTGAACAAAGTTAGCACGGCAGTGTTTATGTTGGCTAATGAGTGTTGTAGTTTCCCATAGTAGTCAGGCCTGTGTACTGAAGCATCTGTCAGGGTAACCATGGGTGAGTAGACCTAATGCTTGACAAAGTTGGCGATGGTGATGTTGGGTAACGTAATGCTTTACACACAATTAAGTAGTGTGCTGAGATCGATCCCTGTGCTAGAGAAATGTTTCCGACTATGTACAATACTTCTACGTTATCAATATCAAAAAAGTTTTGCCACCTATTGACTTCATATAGCATTTGTTTGTTTCTTTGTTTCACATAACCAGTAATTATACATCCATGGTTTGATCTACTCTCACTGGTAAGGTCCTCTTTTCGATGTGTGGTGGGATCTTTAACATGCTCGAGGTGTGGTTCTCTTCAAAAACGGGCCCTCTGGCTTTATGTGCCATCTAAGAGAATCTCTAACTAAAGCTAGGAACTCATTTTCTAGCCCACGAGTTGAGTTGGGAAATAGGACTGGTATAAAGTGTTTTTCCCAAGGGCAGAACATTGAGGTCTGCTATCAATTCAAACTCAGAATTCTAACTCAACACCACAAGACTAAATTGCCACCAAGTTTAACATTAGTAGGATGCCCAGACCCTACTGCTGCATTTCTCACAATTGAGATTGATGCAGTCCTGCAGATTACATTGAGAAAACTCACCATAATACTCCTCGCTGACATAGATGTCGTTAACGAGTTTAGGGAAGGCATCCACAAGTCTCTTGGCCAGCTCGTTGTGTACCTGTGTGCCGTTCAGGAAGCACAGGTGCAGGATGGTCTCCCCCACCGAACCTCGCTTCTCCAGGTCCCAACACACATCTCTCCACTGGCCGTCTGAGTTGGAGGCCAAGAGAAGAGGATAAATGTCATATAATATTTTTATTAAAGGTAGTATTTTTGTTTGCTTGTTTGTTTGTTTTGCATGACCACTAAACCGCCTTTCGAGGTGTAACACATGTACACCTGTCCAGTTTTGTACATGTACATGTATGTACAAGCTGCGTAAGACCAGTTTGAACCACTCACACCGGGAAGAACCCCTACTCTTTTCAATAAGTGCGGTGGTTTCTTTAACGTGCGTGGCGTGTGGCTCTCCCAAAACATGGCACCTCCATTTAACGTCCTATCTGCAGGGACATCCCTAACCGAAACTAGGTACCCATTTCCACCTGATTGAAATGAAGAAAGTAGTGATGCATACCTAAACACAATTTTAGGTTCAGGTCCAGATTCAAGTCCAGAGGTTTAGGTTCAGTTCCGGACTTGTAAGTCCGGACCTAAACCCATGGCATATACAAAATTTCATGTTGGCAACCTTGCAATGTTGTCTTGGTGAAACTTTGGCCACATAACATGGAGGCCGACACTTGACGATGCCCGATGGCAATGTTTTCTTCATTTTGCAGCAAAGATTTTGCAATCTACAGAAGATTTTAGGTGGTTTGGAAGGAAAAGGGGTATGTGAAATGGTCTTTTGTGGCCTCTGTAAAAATGTGGTGGTTCGGGACTAGCCTGAACTAGTTCGGACACACCTATTAATGGTTCGAGAAATTGATAGTCCAGCCGGACGGGTAATAAGTCCGGACTCGGTTCTTGACCTTTAGGTTTTTTTGGACTTGAACCTAAACATTCTTACAAGTCCGGATCCAAGTCCAGTGAACCGGTATGCATCACTAGAAGAAAGTCGTGTAAAGTGCCTTTGCCAAGGGCACAAGACCGGTGACATGGGTCTGAGATATTCAATTTCTTGTTACTTAAGTCTCTGAATCATGAGGAGTGATTCTGGCAGTTTTTGTTTTTTTTTAGTTTGCTATATTTTGTCACTTCCTCTGAATGAAAGTGGAAAAAGAAAAAAAAACATGAACAGAAACATGACCCTTACTTTGTGATGCTTTACGCCTCCATGTTCCAGGCACAACTTGTAATGTACAAAATAGGAACAAAATTCTTTTTAAATACATGTAGTTTTGGTAAGTATTCCCAAACCACAGTTTAACTATATACACAAATGTATACAAACAATTTTCATGCATTGAGTACCTTTTGAACTTAACAAATTGTAAATTAGCTGAAATTCACCAATCCAACATTCTATGATGAAGGTTTGCAGGTTGAGAATAAGCTCTGTTGATCATGTCATTGAAAGCAGCTTGTGCAAGTGAGAATGTTTGGTTGTGCTAAGCTTCACAGAAATTTTCAAAGAAAGAGATCATAAGAATACAATGCACACAAAACTTCATCCAGTCTTGTAATGGGCCAACTTCACTTATAGACCTGTTCTCTTTCTTGCTGATGTAATTAAACTACCACCACAGACAAGGTTTTGGGGTAAGTCAGCTACCAGTTCTGACTTTGATGGTACAACATGCAATAATGTTCAAATACTAATTTCATACATAACCTGGTGGTATTGGTAATTTTCAACAACTGATCTTAATTATAATCTATGATCATGAATTCTACCATCAGATTTCTGATCAAACTTTTCAAATTATTCATCAACATTAAACGTTGATTAAATGTAATTTGAAGTCTGTGACACATTAGAAAGGGAACAGGTCTTAAGCCATGCATAATTGTCCAGTGCTGGACCTTGCCATGCTGAGAGGGAGAGAGCATTTTCAGTGGACTAAAAACCTGACCATCTTACCATAACGTACACTAGTTCTCACACTGTTGAAGCGCAAGAAACCTGGCAGGTGACGGCACATTTTAGTAAAACCCATTTTTTGTTAGCCTGGTAACCTAATCTACATGACAACTTGAGCTGCTATGTCTCTTTTAATCCTCTTTGCAAATTGGGGAGGACGAAAGAGACTAGGCAGCTAAAATAGGCTGGGACACCTAATTATATCTACCAGTCATGTCTTAATCATTAAAATCAAAACGACAATCTTGAGTTATGAAAAAAATATGATTATAGTACTTTCCAATATAGTTCTTAAAGATTTCATCTTCACAAGATACAGTAGTAAAATGTTTTGATTGAACATTACAGATAAGAACAAAATTCTACTCTAAATTTTGAACATGATTTTGTCTTTAAAATTTCAAGGGCACCATGGCCAGGTTGAGGACCTAGTTATATTTCAACTTGTCCCACAAATACGTACTGATTGCATTATCTTTAAAAAAAGCTTGTTTCATTTATAAATGCATTCATTTATTTAATTTTTACTCTATTTCCACAGTAATAGAGATATAAGACTTTTGTCACATCAAAACACTGACCTTGCTCGTTGTGAACAGGGTCCATCAGGGCTGATACAGAGTTGCTCTTATGTCCCAGTCCAAACCCTCCTGTTTTCTTCTTCTTATCCTCCTGGGGGCGTGTCCTCATGCGGTCTCTGTTCCTGGCCATGATCAGCTGTTTGATCGGAACCTTCTTACCCGCTCCTTCGTTATACAGGAACGGCCCCACCTGGGAAATATCACAGAACAAAACATGTCCTGAATGAGATATCAGAGATTTCAGACTTCTCTATGTTATAACGTTAATCCTTTTAAAAGACCTTTGACCTCCTGTCATAATCTGCCTGACAATTTTCCACCCACCTGTAACCAAGTACTCTGTCTGGACAAGCAGACACACAAACCCACAGCTTAACCACCCAAAACAATTCTTCCGTGCCCCAAAGCAACAAGTCCCAAATGACAGATTGGATGAAGCAAATTATGAAAAGTGGACCTTCTTTAATACATATATTTGAAGACAGAGCTTCAAGTTGATTTTTAATACCTCACTTGTATATGAAAGCATGGAGGTTTTTTACCTCCATGATGAAAGACTTAGTACACTCTGTTTTCTCTGTACCTACCTTTTCCCGTATGGTCTGGTTCAACTTGCGGGACTTCTCGGCAGAAAAGAGACTCTCCCTGGTGAGTTTGACCAGCTCCCCTCCCCCTTTCAGGTCCACCAGGTCGTACAGCGGGTAGCGTTTCGCCTTGTCCGGGCCGTCTCCCTGCTGGTTCGCCTGTTCCTTCACCGCATCGTGGATCCCGCCGTGCTGGAGAGTATTTCCCATGCCGAATGTCGTACGAATGTCTCTAGATTCGACCTAGAATGTGGATAAAACGTCGATTCAGCTCTGGCGAAGTCCCAAGTCGGCCATCTTGGATATCAGATTCACACACCTGGTTGTCATGGTTACCGGGTCACATGTCGGCCCGCCTTTGTGTCCGGAGCTTTACACGGCTCAACAAGATCCAGACAGGTGGCCTCTGTAAGCCTTTGTGTGATTCTATATCTGGCGCCAGTGCATCTTTAAGGATATTGGCTCATGAAGAAACGATCATGGAACACCGAGCTAAACATCTCTGTTTTCAAGATTATACACGAAAGAAAGACATCGTGGTTGTAAAAGAAACCATCACTTGGAGATGTTTACAACGAATTAACGATAAACTCGCCACAACAGGTCACTGTTGGCGTAACCAAACAAGCTGTTTAACTTAACGCCATGCCAAACTTGGTCAGAGTGGCATGACTGCTTCGCTTGGCGTTACAGAAAGCATGCTGTGGTAAGGTACATGTTCTGGTACATGTACACCGTGCGGCGAAACTGCCTGGTCGGGTTTACGTCTGAAAACAACCCGCTGTAGCCAGTCGCGTTACGGTACATGCACATAGTTGCAAGGAAGATGTTTATACCCATTCAACTTATCTCTGAACAGATAAGGGTGAGGACAAAGAACCTTGAAACACCTGTTTCTATCTCATCTTTCGGGCGGGCCGTGGGAAGGTGCGTGTTTCTCGTCGTCCATGTCATCTCTTCATCCAACTACAAAGTTGATAGTATAGTAGTAGTCTTTAGCTTAAAAATATGCCCGAAAATCCGAGATAAATGACAAACTTTTATCCACCTTCTTCTGTTCGTCAATGTCGCTGTGGTCTTAAAGTGTTTATAAGAGGAACAAACAGTTTCATGACACAGTACGTGCGCTAGATCCTCGGTTAAAACACAAACCACTGATGGTGTTCCAAAATTGCTGCATGGTTCGCTCCCTGGCACTGTGGCCGTTTGAGGCAGGACAAAACTACACTTCAATGCTGTCCTCACGGCAACAATCCGCGGATTTGGCGGTGTATCAGACCCAGGAGGTCCTACGTTGAACGGAAATCTCCGTCTAAGGTCTTGATGAATTGGGGACTAAATAGCTTTGTAGGATTCGTTTCCAGGGATGAACTGGTGTTACAGTGAGGTGGGCAACGCAGTCAGGCCACGGTACCCAGTGTTCAGGCGGTGGTCTGGACGTGAAGCTGCCGTCATGTACTGTCCACGACCTTCGGTGGAATTTGTTGATAGTCAGACGGACGCCGAATTTCAAAATCGGCAAAGAGTCCGGCATCACACTGAACGGATTCTATGTAAACTGCAAACATCGGCCGATCGTTATCCCTATCGCGCAGTTATTCAAGAGAGGACGTACACCGACCGTATTACTGCCGAAAATTCCCTCTTAGAGGGTGCTTACAGCTGGTAGACCCGTCGCGAGGCCTACTAGTATTTTCTTGCTGTGTCAGCGTTCGTCGGAACACTGGCCGGGCAGAGTGATGAAGTCAATCCTTACACTAATGAGTTAAAAGCCTTGCAAATGAAAATGTTTTTCTTTTTTCTTGCGGTGCATGGCGCATGTCAAAAGAACATTCAAACGTCTGCGCATTTGGGTGGCGTTAGCGTGTGCAGAGCCTGGGGAAGAATGGTAAACACCTGTTTTCCTTTATGACCGTGTTGTCATAACCTTACAAACAACAGCGCTGACCTACTATATGGTAAACCGATACTCCATCAGTATCAAAACGGAACTATGCGCGTCCTAGATGACTCAGCTTGCTCTGTCTTTTGGGCATTATCATTAGCGACACAATAACTAGTACTTTCCTAACTGTCTTCCTAAACCAGTTCTTCAAACAGTAACTTCTATGAGTTTATTACATCATCAAAGCAGTTAGATTATTCATGGATTACATGCATTTTGTTTATGGCATCGACCAATATGTTTATTATGGATGCAAGAGTTTTAGTGCTTACCCGATTTTTCTCTACTCGGGCAAGGTATGGTGGATGTACATTTGTATACGTGTGTGCGTGCGTGAGTGCGTGCGTGCGTGTGTATGTGTATGTTTCTGCCGGCGTGTGGGGGGATTGTTGGGGTAAAAGTGTACCCGCATGTAAATGAAGAATTGTAAGGAAGTTGGAAATCACATACTTGGTAAAAAGGTTAAAATTTTCGCGTTAATAGTCAAGCAAAACATGCATCGACATTTTGTCAATTTCTCCCCTCAATCACCGTCCTTCTCGGTCCGCGACCAGAGCAAATCCTTTGATTCCAGAACAAATGCCACTACAATGGAAGTACAATGAAAGCCATTAAAATGTCGTCGTTTTGCTGGGCCATGCTTTTTTTACGGTGCTTAGTGCACAGAAGCGGCTATGTAAGTGGGCCTGTTCTCATTACAAGGGTTTATATGGTGAACGCGGTCTTGCCACAAATAGACTGGCACCCATTGAAGATGACAAGTTAACTGTACTCCGAACCGGTTCTGTAGCTATCTTAATGCCTATCTTAATGTCTGACACCTTTGTTTTATCTGCTAGTCTTGAATAACTGCTTCTTCCCCTGCACGAAGCCATGAAGAAGTAACACACTAGTAGCTTCTCTTGCCTAGATCACCTGTCTGATTGCATCGTAATTGTCACAATGGTTTGTTTTGGGATAAACTTGCGTCGAGTCACACCGAGTCATTCAAAAGGATCTCGGACAGGTCGTATGCTTACTGTGTGGCAAATTGGATTTTGATTGAAGCTTCAATGTATTGAAAGGTTGAACATTTACAAGCGTCGATAAGGATGGTTACGTCAGTTCTAGGTTAGGCAAGTCCTTCTAGGGCGCGTACAATGCTGAAGTAGGGGTGGGGACTTACGGATCCTATCCCTGGTAAAGTTTGTGTCTTCTTTTGTGTTTCTTTTTTATATGGTATCACGCATGGTTCACGGGATGAGTTGTTTCTTTGGACAATGACTGGATTATTGTGGGTAAATTGTTGGGATGTTTTCAGTGGGCTGTTGGCGTGAGGGTCGCTCCAAGTCAACACAACCGGGGGTGGCAACCTCCCGCCCTGGATACGGGTAGCGTCCCTTGCCAACGGACAAACAGTCGCGCGGGGACCAGTCGAGCGAGAAGAACACAAGCACGTATTCCCCGTGGGGACATGCCGGCAGGGATGGAGGCAGTCGACCGGCGGAGACGTTTCCTTCAGCCGAAGGAAGGCACGCAGCTTCCCGGGTAAGTTTGCCCAGACGCCACCTGTCTTAATCGTGGCCCCGCCGCAAACACGTCGGATTAGCCGGTCGGTACTCCATGTAATTCTCGCCGGGCGTTGAGTGGAAACATGAACATCTCGTGTGGGACGTCGAGTGGACCAATCGACTTGGTATCGACGCTACAAAGTCAAGTATTTGCTGGTCACAGTGAATAACGTTACCTCATCTACTTGTTGCTTGCCTAACGTTAATTTGTTTTCCTTCTGAATTTTCCAGCTACACCGGCTACTGCCCGCAGTACAGGTTCTTGATTGGTCTGACTTACGGCAACGTCTCTGCGCAAATGCTGAAGGTAAGAATTAGATAAGGCAAATCAATTAGCTGTGGTAGTCTGGCGCTGCATATACATACACATACTTTCACTGCAACGGGAAAAATCGATCCCAGCTGTGCGGGGTGTAAAATGGTTGCTTGCCAGTCTTTAGTCGTTAGCTTTGGGTCTAGACACCACAAGACACCATGTATTCTGGGACAGACATATATCGGCAAGGTTTATCTCTTAAGTCTAGTGTCCCTCACGCAATATTATGTCTATATGTCAATACTCAATATGCAGTGGACAAAAGTCCCCAGCCTTCTGAGTTTCTCCTAGTGGAGTGTTTCAACAAGATAAAGAAAAAAACAGGAAAAACCTCCACATGTTTTTGGAGACCAGTGGTTGTGACTGTGGTACTTAGGGCATGTTAGGGGTTACGGCTGTGTCACGGACCAAATTGGAACCATAGAAAACAATTTTAGTGATATGTCTTGAGTAGGCTTACCAGGCTTAAGGCTGCCAGAATACGTTTCAAACTTTCCTACTATTTGTCCGAGCCGTCTACTTGATCGTGAAGGACTGACTGACATGACTGAAGACCATGTTTATAGACCTTGTTAACATCACGTACCTTCGACGATTAATGGTCCAAGTGTTCAGAGGCTATCTCAGAACGCACATGTAAGTGTCGTACTCCCTAATTAAATTACACCTTTGTTCGCTTGTAAGATAGTCACGCACTTGAGTCGATTATTTTGTGCGGTATCGTATCCATTTGCGGTGGCGAAGATAGTCAGCGGTCGGTCGCTATGTTCGGCACCTGATAGAAAACAAAACCACAGATTCATTCATTCATTGCAGTCGTTGTCGGTGAAAAGGAGCAACGTACACCAAACTTCACAAGGATAGTGCTCTTCTGTGTGACACGCTATCAATACTTCATTCATTCTGTGTACGGACGTTGCGCTACTGTTTTGACCGCCTCGGAGCGTCTGAATGAAACCCTAGTGAACTACCGGCATTGCCCATTCGCAGACTTCTAGAGGGCCCCAAAATAAACTCAGTAAAACAGTCTGTCAAGTACTTCGACATTTATTACCAAAACAATTATGCCTGTTCTGAAAAGGTGGCATTGTCCGTTGAAATATTTTACACTTCGCGGTATAACTGTCAGCGTATTTCGTGTATACATTGTGGCTACAAAAGACCATGTCAACCCCATGGCAACCCCACTATGGTGGGCGCTGGAGTGGCCGGCTTGTTTACCTTTTCTCCGCTGGAGGACGGTAATGTGTTTTAAGGGCGTATTCACCAGTAAGGAACCCACCATAACACCATACTTTAGTACATGTAATATGAAATTTACAAGAGGTTTGTTGGTGAGTAATGTACTAAGTTGACACATTAATTAGTGATAAAACTGTTTACATTGTGTTGTTGACGCATTCCAAATACAACGCAGTTGCCAGTCATTTATTATGGCTTGTTTGGACTTAAACTTTGTAACCGTAAAAGCTTTTTGATTTGACTTTGATATTTTCCAGGCAACAGCGCCCAAAGATTGAATTGTTGTCGCAGTACATACTGGTTCATATTGGACCGAGTATCGGTACTACAAAAATTGATAGTACTTGCTTACGGTTTTGAGAAAAAGTGGTTGTCATAGCAATATTGTCCATTTTGATTCCCCATGTAAACATACGTATTCAGTGGTGAAGACGTCTTTTTCTCTCTGTACGCATGGTGCTGTACGTCGATCTTAGCTTTCAACGATAGTTTCTGCTGTGACAGTGTGCATGCAATCAAGTAGAAGAAACGTACAAGTCAGGAAACTGAATATTTTTCTTACGGCGCCGCTGTCGACAAAGCGTCGTGGGCCGTCGTACGATTGTGATGCCGTAGAATTCTCAAGGAGGCTGTGACAGAGCCAGCGTCTAACAAGGATGTAAGACAGCCTTTAGATTCCCGTCACACGGCAGCTGAATTTTGCAGGACATGTGCATGACTGTTTAAAGAATGAGACAGTCATCGTACGACGATCGTACGACGTTTGTGACTAGACCCTTACTTGCGAACTTGTGGTGCAGTACCACCAAGTCAGACAACAGGCACGGTCTATAAGTCTTGACTATGACAAAGTCGAATTCAGTCTACTCGACCTAACACGTTTCCAACACAGGGGATGTTGCTGTCTTTTCAAATGTAGGGCCGATGTCAATGCATGCAGTGCATCTAATTACAAGTACGAAGAATTAAGGTTTAACTTCAGGACATAAAATGGAACTCTCAAATGCCAGACTATTCTGTCCACCTGTTATCTCTTGTGCCTCTTGTGACGCTGTTTGACCATAAACAAACCAGCCGCGGTCCGAAAACACTTTCCAAAAGGACGGTGTTGTTTTTATCCCCCACATTTAACCACACCGTTCTGTACTGTTAGGTAAGTAGGATATAGACACGGCCCGGGACTCAGGTCCGATCGTTACCGCGTAGGTTTGGTAGATGATATTGTAGTTATAGACTATCAGATTCAGATTGTTTTCCTTAGTTTTCAGGCAGGGCAAAACGGAAATCAAACAAGTCTAATGATGTATGCTCAGAGGAGATAAGACATGTTAACACATACCTACGAAGAGTTGACAGTGTGTCTTACAAAACGGAACAAACTATAGACGACTACTGGTGGGATACACACTTAGGCATATGATCATTACATTATTTAAAGCAGTTGAAATAGATATTAGAAACTACGTATAGGGTGCAAAAATCAGACCAACTTAAAATAAAAGAATGATATGTTTCTTTCTATACACCAATCAAGTCTAGTCCAGTACATTCAGGTTTAAATGTTAAGGGTATATTTACAAGGTGATATAACATTACAGATCCTACATATACACTAGTACAAATCATATACTTATTATATATTTATTTCACCGGCTTTCTGTGGCGAAGTGCTATTTGGAGACTTCGTGGCAAGAAATGGAAACTCATCTGTGCACACACACGGTAAATCTCACTGTGATGTACACAGCGTCGTGGAACAGGCTGATTTTTGTGAGGACACTCTGCTTGAGTTGAACCGAACGTAAACAAAGTCCTGCCTCCAAGGCGACCGACGCGGTGTCACAGCCGACCTCTGCCGAAACTTCTGGGTTCATCGCCAGTTCTTCTCATCAGATCTGTTCCCATGACATGGGAACACGCATCGAAGTGCTGCTCTACTCGTCGAAACAACATTCAAACTACTTTACTCATGACTAACTCAGACTTTCTTGGTAATGTTGTAGCATCTAATTGTACTTTAGGAGGGAAAACAGTTATTTTTCTTATTCATAAAAGCGCACACCAGCACTTGTGTTTGTAACGGCAATTCTAACCGAGAAGATACTTCTTCTTTGAGAAACATAGGCTATGACTTGGACTGAGAAAACATCGTGATGTTGTCGTACTTTTGTCGTACGTTCGCAAACTGACTTGGGGCATTCTTGGGATATAGTCGTGCATGTGTCCTGAAAAATTAAACAATCTTGTATCAGAAAAGACTGCCTAAGATCCTTGTGGACGATTGGTTCTGTCACAACCTGATAGAACATTCTACGACATCAAAATGGTACGCCTGCCCAGGACTTGAATGTCACCAGGCCATGTAACAAAACGCTGCCTAGTGACCGTGTATGTTGTCCCGGGAGCTGGGAGACCTGTGTCGGCATGTTATCCAGGGAGGAAACCACGTCACGACCAGATTGGGTGAGAGCGGTCAGACCAAAGATTGTGCAGCTGCGCTACATTTCCGTAACATCTCCGGTTTCCCCTGACAAAAACGCCAACCAATTACACAAGTTGAATAACCTTTGAGTCATACAGAGTCGGTAATACAAACAGTTTTAGCCTTGTCGCAATTTAATAATCGTCGCTTGTCGCTGTTTTCAGGTCGCTGTAATATCAGTCAGAGGCTGATTTTTCGTACTGATAAAGTCGAGCTAGCGTCAGAGGTGTTCGTAGTAAACCAGGTGTTCACTTCGGAATCTTGGTGGTTTTTATCCTCCCGGCAAAAGTCAACGAGTCAAACCTAACAAAACGCTTCGCCGTGACCCGCTGGTAATGCCATCTTTGGGCACCAGGCTACATCCCACCTGTTATCTGCGGGGCAACCCTACATTTTCGTGTTCGACCTAGAAAACTAGACGCACACAGGTAATTTGTAGATCACAGAGATAACCCTGTGAAATTGCCAGATCATAAAGTGAACTCGCAGCCCATAGGAGAAAGTCCTGGCAAAACGTCACAAATAAACTTATCATATCTTATTTTTTGGTTAATTATACCTGATGTTCTCGTGTAGTATACAGGGTAAGCACATACATGTCTGTGTTTGTGGTACACTGTTTATCTTCCAAGACAAAGCTTCTTCGTTGTTGAGTTTTGATGTGGATCATTGAAGACTACCGCCAGGGTACGGTGTGACACGAACAACGGCACTGCACATTGGTACAGGTGCGTTTCGCTGGCAGAACGCAGCCATAGGCAGACTGATAAATGTGGGCGACAAATATAACTTGTCAAATCGTGCTCACTACCGTGGCCCCGTGTAAATACATCGGACCGACGTGCTGTTCCGACAAAGGAGAAAAATAAACGAACCCGCTGTGAGCAAAGGATCGGGAAGGTTGGAGAAAATGGAACGATAAAGTGGTTAGACAAACATGTCCTCCCAACCTATGTCAAATTAAGCACCCAGAAGTAATAAGTGTTGACAGTATTGTACACAGTGTGGCAGCGTAAATTTTACTCAGTAAACTTTGGGAGGCCGGAGCATGAGATAGGGGCCTATGATTTGGAGACGTAAATCATCGAAGATCCATGGTGTAAGAACTGAGGAACTGCGTGTTACTACTAACAATGCTGCCAATTACCTTTCCTTACTCAGTGTTAGTCCCCACCAGACTCCTTTGCAGGCTGAATAAATAGTAGAAACCGGCCTAAAAGGTGATATCATTGGCCAGAAAAGTTGGCCGGCCAGAGAGGGTCCATTTGCCTGCACGTGCGATGGTATTCCCGTTTTAATTAGGCCGATTTCTACTATTTATTCAGCCTGCAAATACAAAGGAGTCTGGTGGAGACTAACTCAGTGTTAAAGCACAGTTGCCGAGTGTTTGCGTTCCATCGATGTATCTGGGGATACAGAAGAGTTATTCACCACTAGTGTCTAGCGAAATTTATGATAGGAACCACGTTGCTAGAATGTTATTAGAAACGAGATGAATTCAATAAACAGTGGCGCTACAACATTCACCAGTGATGTCCGAGGTTTAAACGTTATCTCGAGCTCAATGTGCGTTTCCAAAGTACATTCGATAAATTATAACATGACTTCATTGAGTTCTTTGGTCTGGTGATGTTATCTGTCCACGACAGATGGAGCCTAATGGTAGCTATCTTATCTCTGCTAATAGTTCGGGTTTTTATTAAAATATTACATGAAAAAACGGTACAAGATAGAGTAATGTGAAGATGTGAAAAACGGAAATGCAGTAGCCTACACATGATGGGAAATGAACGATAATTGGACCACCAACATGGAGACACAAAAAAGGGCATAAAAGAAAGAGTAGAACGTAAGCTGTTAATCATGAAGCCAAACGTGGTTATCAAATCTACAAAGAACTTTCGAAGCAGAAAAGGACACGGGTGAAACAGAAAAAGGGAAGTGTTGTTAAAGGATTATCGCCATTACTTCACATAGAATCACCCTTTGTTTCCGTCTCCCCGCAGGGCGTGAAACACAATCCTCCCACCATCTCCGACCCTGGGCAGGCGGGAGGGCCCAGACTGGTTCACCTGCCCAAGTTTGACGGGACCAGGCGACTGACGGAAGGCATGGTGCCGGGGTATACAGGTAGGACAGGTTCAGCTAGCCTCCACCAGGCATTCCTAAGGGTAGTAAGATTCGGCAAAAATATTGGCTAATATTTAGCCAGCTAGGGGACTGGTAAGGGTAACATTTTCACTAACTGCACAGGAAATTTTGTTGGCCAAACTTTTATGCCAAATTAGTCTATCCCAGCCCACGTTGTTTGTTTGAGACTATGTTTCATTTTTCATAATTCAGTCAATGTTGGAGTAAACTTAGACATTGGGTCTGTCCTTGGTGCTGAATCATATTACCGATTACGGCCGTCTCATTAGGCATTAGCCATGTTTCAAAAGGTTTCAGCAATCATTTTCGACAAAACTAGTCTTGTTGTCATGTCATGCCAGCTTACCCATAGCCTGGTATCCAGTCTGATCGTGATTGGGGGTATTGAGGTGTTTAGGCAGGTTGTGTCTTCGGGGCCTCTAAGACCTTCCCCCGCCCAGTGCAACAGACCGTCCCGGTAGGAGTGTTACGCTAATTAGAGACAGTATGCTCGGGGATTTGGTTTCCCCCATATTAATCTCTCGTGAAATACACACCGGGACGCTTATGTGAGGCGGGCGGGCCAGAGCTCTTGCGGCCCCGACCACGAATCAGACTGGATACCAGGCTAGCTTACCCACTGGCCCTGACAAGAGTCTTAATTCCGGGCTAGTGCATGTACCTGAAGCAAGATTTTCTCCGTTTATTCCAGGCTACATCCCACGTAAAAGGTACAAAGATGCCGGCACGTACGGCCGCGACACCGCCGTCAGTATAGACGAGTTTTTTGGGGACACGAAAGGCGCCGTACGAGCCGACAGGGCGCTGCGGGCCACCGTTGCACAGGCACCGAGGCTGACACCCACGTCGAGCCCAGAGGAAACCCTGGAAAAGATGGACTGCTTCATGCCAAGAAAAACCACGTTGTTGGGTAAATTTCATAGTAATATCTGCTGAATTGGACTATCGAAACCCGTAATATATATTCGATGAAATGCTACTACGTGCTGTGTTGGCTTTTTAAGAAAGGAGAAGCACCTATTGACGATTCTGTGCTGTGTCTGCTCTACTTCACCACAATTGACTTTTGTTGTGATATGTGTGCTGTGTGTTCATGTAGTATAACAGAAAGGCGAATACTGTACTAAACATCAGATAAACATCATGTTATCGTCATTGTTACAATCATTAAGTGTGGCAATTGAAACTTCTTGTAATGAAATCAACAAAGAGGATATATATTGTACGAAGTTGACAATCTAATGACATATCTGATAAATGTTTAAATCTTGTTCTTCTGTTCCGAATGAATCGGTGGTTTTTAATGTATGCAAGCAAAATAGAATCTAGTAAAATATACTTGGGCATCTCTGTTTGCAGAAGACAAAAGATCATTTCTAGAAGCCCCCATGCCGGGCTGGACCGGATATGTGCCCCGGAAGAAGATCACGGAGGTCGGTCTGGGCAGGAGGTACGCTGTGGTGGCCAAGAAGGGATTCTGCGAGCAGCAAGACCACATGGACAGGCATTCGTCACTACGGGAGACACCTGTCACTTTAGAAAGGTACTGCAGAACACGGCTTCAGAAATTGCAAGGACTTTTTCTCTCTATTGATTGCTAACCTATTCATCCTAGCCACTACTAGAGAGGATATTACTACTAACTGACAATTGTAACTCTTCTGGAAATGTAGATCTAGATCTTTACAAAAATTTTGTGTTTTCCGATAAATCAATATTTATATATTTACAGAACCGAGTCTCCGGATGATGACGATAAAGGTTTGGTGGACAGACGTCTGTACCGACCGGAGGGAATGGTGCCCAAATACACGGGATACATCCCTCGTGAGTTATATGCACTCCTCACATTAATAAAGCAACACATAAACCGTTAGTGTAGCTATAGGATAACATTTAATGTTGTTGTTGTTGTTTATTGTTTGATAGTATTTACTATTTATAGTTAAAGCCCCGGTCACACACAGCGTACGATGCACCTACGATGGACGGATTTCTCTCGATGAACGCGTGAAGAAACAGATAGAATAGGTACTACAGAATAGGCAACTATTTTCGTCGCGGAAAAAACAGTAATAGCTGCGTCCTGTGATGTATGTGACAAATATCACAGTGATAGACCACACTGCCTGTTTCTTGGACTGATGTTTAAATCCTGAATGATACTTGCGTTGTCCACAAAACAAACGAGTCACAATTTCCATGTTTTGTTTCCTTACAGGAAGACGGTATGAATTTGGCAATACGTACGGTGCAACCAGCCGGTCTCTCCCGGTCTGCTACCATGACAAGCCTACGTTCGGATCCTACCTACGGAGTCAAGCACTACAGATCTCCACGTGAAATCATCATATGGACAAAACAATCGGAGATTTCAGACTTCATGAAAGTGTGTTGGGTTTTCGCGAACGTGTTGGAACAACCGAGGAGATTGTATGACGTACTTCAATCGGGACTAGGACAGAAACTGTGCAGGGTCGCGCATGCAATACTTGGGTTCCTGAATTCCCCCATAGGTCAACCCCTAACTCCTGGCTACCGGCAATATTCTGGGACCCTGAAGTTTACCCTCATTTCCCTTTGTTTTACCTTTTGGCATCCTGTCATTCTGCCTGTCAAAAGCCCCCCATCCATGTGCTGTTAACCTTTTACATCGGATAAACATGCACACAAACACACAGACAAACCCATCCCAAACAATACTTCCGTACCAGGAAATAAAAATTAATAAACAGATGAGATTCAAAGTGATTTAGAGCTAAGATATATGTGAACATTAATGCTTGTACATGTGTAATTAACAACGGACTGAGTAAAGTACCTGCATGAAAGAATTAGACATGATCTAAATTATAAAATAGAGATAAATTATGAAATTGATATGTTTACTATTCTAAGTTGTATTTTCTGCGTGTTGTTGTGAAGAGAAGATGTAGGATTTCTGTGGTTTCAGAGCACCACAAGACAAACCGTTGTGCAGTAACTACTAGTATGGTAGTATGTCAAGAGCTGAGATAGGCATACACCGTTGAAGAATATTATACAGTACTGTAGTCAGACGCCATCTAGCAACAAGCCACAAAAGTGCACGCTCATTATTCTGAAACGTAACTCTTCACAAGTGGGCGATCTTTTATGGAACGAATTAGATTTAATAACGGTTTTGTTTTAAGTTTTTGTAACCAATTTTATTGCACCGTCACATTTCTTTATTTGTTTATGTCTTTTTTGTTCACTTTTTGAAGTAAGCAACATTACACATACAGCTTACGATAATAGAACGTTAGGTGTAATATTATGAATACTCACATATTTAGATACATGTACTTATCTAACATGTACATGTATTAAGATATCGATACTTTGTTTAGATTGATTAAATCACGTAGGAAACGGTCTTCTCGTGTTTACTGTATGAAGTGATTTAAATTACTAAGTGTATACGAAATATGATATTGCACCGGCTGCTACTTGTAGATATATTTTGTAATTTCACGTAGTAACGGCACACTGAGTTGATTGTATGATGACAACAGCATGCGCATCGATTTTCGGCATCTTAAACTTTGAAAGAAAAAAAAGGAAATAGTAATCAGAGTTTTTTTTTTTTCGTTTTTATTATTTTTTTCTTGTCGAATCTACTTAGTGATCTTCTGTAGCGGTATTGAAAGCCTGTGTTACACAGTCTTCCCCTACTGGCTTAACAGTGTTAACAGTGGAATGGCCTGCTAGAAACGTAGTCGGACAACTTCTGCTGCATGCGCATGCTCTCTAATTTCTGCCGACCCATACCGACGAACAGGCTGTTTTACTGGAGAGTTCGAAAGCGTGTTTTGTTTTCATTTCTCTTGAGGCAGTTTCTCGGCCATGAATTCGCTCTGAAACGGTATGCTATTATATTAGTCAGTCATTGTACCCATGCCACATGCTTTATTCAAAACCATTCATTATTATTATTATTATTTTTAAGCGGCGCTCGCACCCTGCTGTTACAGTACTGAAAACTACAAAGAGAATGGAGACTTGTGATTTCACAAAGGTAAACCTTGGCGCGAGACTAAACCTAGGTGCGAGACCACTGGCGGGAAAAAAGGTCAGAAGATCAACCACTTCCGGGTTGTGCGTATGTTTTGCCGGGGACACAAAGAACATAAATTTGTCGGTTTGATTTGGTAAAATTTTGAGGCTTTGGGGTGAATTTGGTTTTAGCAGTGACCTGATTGCTGTTTTTGACGATGGGGAAGGTAACAAATCTCATCTGTGCCCGTTTCGGCAACATTCCCGCCCGCGTGCTGTGCGTGTTGGTTCTTGTGTGCCAAGGCGCCCTGCTCGACTACTGTCTGGCCTTCTACCTGAACTTGAACTGGTTAGGCTGGATCGCTGCGGACATCGTGGTGGTCAGTCTGTGGCTGTACGCCCTCATCACGTCGTACCGATACTTCAGACGGAGGTGGATGTCGGCAGGCGCTGGTCGGACGGGTGATGACGAGCTTCCCTTCGCCTTCATCTCGTGGTTCGTGTACGCCTGTCTCTACGTGCCCAGGGTCGCCATCATCTTCAAATGGGAGATCGCCGCCAAACTCACCGACCACGACTGGTTCGGCCCGAACGCGCTCAAGACGACTCTAGCGCTGTCCGCGCCCCTGTTCCTCCTGCTCCTGTACGGTCATCACGACGCCAAACCGCACACCAACAGGAAGAACTACGTAGACAGACTCAGCCTGGGGGTAACCTTCGACATTCTGGACTCCCTAGAGTTACTGGATATTCTGTTTGTGGAGGAATCTCGGGTCATCTTAACCTTTGACTTGGAGAATGCCATCCTGTCCTTCGCGTGTATCGTCTTCTTCCTCCCCACGGTCGCCTTGTTCGAACTGAGGAAGAGCAGGTCGGACGGGGAAGTTGCCTCGGTGAACTTCGGAGTGCTGTATTCCCTCCTGTTCATGTTATTAGTGAACATTCCCTTCCTGGTCATCAGGATACTCCTCTGGAATATCTACAACCAGGACGTCTCCGTGTTCCTGATTAAGAACGTCATGCTGGTGATCATGGGGTTCAAGGACATCTGGGAAAACCTGGGCCCGCACGGACCCAAGAAGTGCTCGGAATGTGACGGGACGTTCCACCCCGATCAGATAGAGCCACACAGGGAGAAGTGTGGGCCAGAAGAGGCCATGGAGCTCCAAGATGGACAGGCTGCGTCGGAAGCAAGCAAGCTGCCAGTAGAAGCGCACTCGTCCGTGTGATTCTGACTGTCCATCACAATTAACAGTTCAACCAATGATAGCATTGCAATGCATTAGCGGTTCGACCAATGAGAGAGTGGCTGAGCTGCAAATATTTGCGTTTTTATGTTGCATTTTTACGTTTTCACGGAACGTTTTCAAAAGACAATTGTATGGCACACTAATATTAATGAATTATGTGTTTGTGCGTGTGTGTATCACCAGATTTTGCCACAAGGCCATCATAACTTGATCCGTGTCAATTGCTGCCAAAGTCCTGCTGTATGACGGTATGTGGCAAGGTACTGTAGTTCTCGTTTAGTGCAGTGTAATGTATAAAATGGTGATGACTAGAGCTGTCTGTAAAGTTGTAGTACTACAACGGAAACTGCGATAACGCTTGTATGCCACCTTTTGGTGGAAGTAGGTTCTTTGTTGCAGTAATGCGCCTTTTACACAGAGAAGAACATAGAGCTAGTTTCGTACAGCCCGACCGAATCCTCATAAAGGGAAATATATTTTTTTTCATCCGTGAATAATGAAGCGCTTGTATTCCTTTTGTGTGTGTGTGTGTATAGGTTCCACATGTTTTAACCTATTTACTATAAATACCACCACGACCATTCGTGGTGGTATTTATTGAGCCTCCTATCGACAGCTTCTGATACTGCAGTTTGACGCCCGTTTCTGTTCTGGACATGCTGTGGTCTTGGAATTTCGAGGGACAGTTTTTAGTCGGGAAAAAGCGTCATAGACAGACCCGTAGTGAGTGTACTGAGGTTATATATTTTAGGTAATCCTGGGCAACATTTTAAAAAAACATTTACATTTGAAGATTTGAACCATGATAACAGTAATGAACATAGCAAAGTGATTATAACGATGAACGACGTTACAAACAACAGTGCGATAAACTTGTAATAATTAGAAAATTCCTAGTACTAGTTCTAATGACGTGTAGCGTAAATGGTAGCGTGTTCGTCTCAGGACCAAGAGGTCCCGAGTTCGAATCCTACCCATGTCTTTTGCCCTTGGGAAAGGCACTTTACACCACTCAGGTGAAAATGAGTACCTAACTTCGGTTAGGGACGTCCCTCGGATAGGACGTTAAATGGAGGTCCCATGTTTGGGACAGCCACACCCCACGCACGTGAAAGAACCCACTGCACTTATCGATATCGAAAAGAGCAGGGGCCCTTCCCGGTGTGAGTGATTCAAACCTTACAGTCCGGTCTTACTCCAGCTTGTAATTACATGTACAAAACTGATGTGTTACACCTAAAAGGTGTTTTACCAATCGGTTATGCGAAACAAACAAAAACGAACAATCCTATGTGACTGGACTCACCTGATTACATAATCTAAGTGGGTCCCGTCGCGCAGACCTTTTGTTTGAGGTCAAAACATGAGGTCACACAATACAAGGGTCATAGAGGAGACACCGCTTGGACTTTGCCTGCGCATGTCCAGAAATGTGAGTTCGTAAGCCTGTGACAGAACTGTGACCCAGAAAACCCACACGTGATACAGGAAACTATATAGTGAAGATCGTCGTTGCGGATCGTTGGCAGTGCGGTCTGCTTCTCTAACAGTTTACAAATTGCCAGGTGAGAGTGTCATTAATACCTTGTCACGACCATTCTTCCTTTGTTAATGCCTAGGAAGATGTACGGATAAGGTTTGTTTGTTCACCGCTTTTGTCTCTTTTCAGCTATAGTTTTGCAACTTTTTTTTTCAAGTCGCGTGCACGTGCGATCTTACGCAAGGAGCCATCCAGTCGAAAGAAAAAAAAGCTCACCACATTGAAGACGTGAAAAAAGCGGTAAATGCACGGAACCATTGTGATGAATCAAAATCAAAATCAAAGTGATTTTATTGGTATCAAGGCCCCAGCTAGATTGCAATCGCTGAGCCACCGTACAGCGAGCGGAGTTGGATTTGTGTGACCCTTGCAATTTTGATTTCATGATTGGAATATGGCACAAGATGTAAGAGTATGATTGAAAGGGCAACACAGAAAAACGTAAGAAAATTGGCCTAGACCGTAAACGCATTGTTTAGTATTCTTCATAGTTGTGTAACTGGTCAGCACGGTTGCGCCTATAATTTGGACCCTGCGTGGCAACTATCTTGAAAATCCTTACACAATCTTATCAGTTTGTACTACATAGTGACCTAAAAAAGGATACCCAACTTTAAATAGTTACCAATTACCAACGCTTCAAGCGCATCACTATACCATAATAGTGAGACTTCCATCAAGTAAAACTCAAGATAGTGTTTGTTCCATTAATTCCAATGATACCCGCCAGTCATTGTTCGCAGAGTTGACCCTTAAAAGATGGGTATCCCTTTTTCTAGGCCACTCTGTTCTAAGTGTCACGGGGGCAAAGTACAATGGGCTTTGTGAATTCTTTGTGACCCAGTTTGGAAATCCTGAAAATAAATAGACTTTTTTACTGCCGTTCTGATGGAGGCGGCCTAATCGCTCTGAGATAAGGCCATCAGGGCACGCTGGTCGGGGCAACAGTTCAAATGTGAATCTGAGAAGAAGAAAAGAAGCAAAGATGTGATAGCCCTGTAAGCCAGACATAGCTTTGAGTACCTGCGTAAAACTACTAAAGCATGTCAGGACTTTGTTACTAATTATTCAATTGTTGGTATTCAGCTAGAACCACGTTTCGTGCCTTGCATAATAGATTTATTTTCCTTTGCTTTGCTTTGTTCTATATGTCTCCTAGAATAAGTGGCGATTCCCTATACGACGTTTGAACAGCCTCCTCTAACAACAAGCACAATGAAGTTGGCAGTGTTTGGGGCCACTGGTCCTACAGGTATGTTAAAGTTGTAGGTATGGGTAATATGTACGTTCTGCAGACTGCGGATTTGACTAGTCTCAAACTTGGTTGGTGGTGTGATTTTGAGATTCATTTCCTCAGTGAAATAGCTATATTTTTGTGCGTGCGTGTGCGTGCGCGTGTGTGTGCGTGTGCGTGTGCGTGTGCGTGTGCGTGCGCGTGCGTGTGCGTGTGCGTGTGCGTGTGCGTGTGTGTGTGTGTGTGTGTGTGTGTGTGGTGTGTGAGTGGTGTGTATGCGTGAGTGATTTTTTCTGTTTACGTCTACGCATTTGGCACCCGGCTAGCCTCGTACACGGGGGTAAGAAAAAGAAAAAAAAAATACTTCGTCCGTCCTCCAGACTGTCAGTTGTAATAATGACCATGTTGTTCTGTAGGTGTGGAGGTTGTGAAGCAGGCGCTAGCCCTCGGCCATGACGTCACCGCACTGGTCAGAAACCCAGACAAGATGAAAGATCTGGTCCCCGATAAGGACCTTCAGGTTGGCTTTGAGCATGGCGTATCATTCTACTGTTTGGAAAATCTTTACATCTTAGAGGTGCTCGTGATTTGGATTTAATGCCGTATTGGTGCCTGGTTTCACGGACTCTTTTTTCTGTTCATCTTCCACAGATGGAAAAGATCGACTTCTCCTCTCCCGGGTCCATAGAACCACATCTACAGGACAAGGACATCGTCCTGTCCTGTCTGGGAAGTATGTAGAAAATAAATACCTTCGAAAAACAATAGAATCATAGTCAAGTTTACTAAGGAATGATTTAAGACTTTTTAGTCGTTGAGGGCAAATTGAACGAGATATCGAGGCTAATCAAAATTAAGGGTATTTGCGTGTGGGGTGTGGGGAAGAGTAGGGAGGTCTACGAGTGGGGTGTGGGGAAGAGAAGGGAGGTCTACCAGTGGGGTGTGGGGAAGAGTAGGGAGGTCTACAAGTGGGGTGTGGGGAAGAGTAGGGAGGTCTACGAGTGGGGTGTGGGGAAGAGTAAGGATATAGATGGGCAGTAGAACGCGTTAATAGACAGTTAACTAAATAGCACTGGTGTTTATTACAACACGGTAACTGTTTCTTTCTGCCATAGGTAGGAGCGCACCTTGGTCAACAGTCACCTTTTACACAGATTCCATGAAGGTCATTGTTGCTGCCATGAGAAAGAACAACATCAAGCGGCTGGTCTGTGTGTCGTCCTGGTACCTCACTGGTACATGTTCCTTCTTGTTTTTGCCAGCAATTGATGTTTTCATAAAATGCTGCAAATACCTTCCCTCATTCTATAACAGAACCTGTCGGCATGTCACATTGTGGTCACATCTTTTAGAATACACGTCATCGTTAGTTGCAGTATAGGCTGGATTTTGACAGGTGAGTTGTTTTATGATTTTTAGGAGAAGCAATAATCAAGTTACAAAACCAAAGCCGTGCAATCATATCTGAACAATGTTGTCTTGGATTTCAAAAGGTCAGACTCAGGAAATGGGAACTGAAGCTCTAAGAATCTGGTCGGGAGCTAGCATTAATTAGTGGTCGACATGGGGGAATTCAGGAAGCCGAAGATAGCATGCTTCCCTGAAGTCTGAAATTTCCGCTGTTGTTTTCGTCGTTTCAGATGACCCGTCAGATCCACCACCTTTCATACTGCGCTGGGTTTTCAAGCCTTTAGTGACAGGACGGATCTTCAAAAATGTGGCGGAAATGGAGCAGTACCTTCAGGGGTGCACTGACATCGACTTCACCGCTGTTAAGGCGCCTCATCTTTTATCAGGACCGGTGACTGGTATGTTTCAGTTTTTCCTGCCAAATCTGTATTGTACATGTGTGAAGTAAACAGTACTGATAAAAACTTTAAGTGTCGTTACGTATCCATATGCATTTGCTCGCTTGCACCAACCCGTGTGTTTGTGGTTGATTGGTTTGTTTGTTTGTTTGTTTGTTTTGGGTTATTCAATAACAGTGTTGGAAGAAAACATTTCTTCGAAAACTACAGTTGGAAAATGCAGATGGACACATTCAATCTTTCACTCCGGGAGTCACGAAAAACAACAAAACAACTTATGTAATATCGAGAGGAAAAAACTGACTGATGACTGATGAATCTCTTCAACGAAAAAAACTTTAAAATTTGAAAACCGTTAATCTAGAGATAACAACGGGATTCCATGGACTTTTGAGAGGAGGGGCTTTAATTCAGACCCTGGGGAATGGGTCTTCCTTCAAAAACCATGATATTGAGTTACCATTGTAGAAACAATTTGCAATACTTTGTTTTCCTCAGACATGGAGTTCCGAACTGAGGAAGGTGAGCAGGTACACGACAGGGAGGGGGTGCGAGGCATGTGCCGGGCGGATGTGGCCAGGTCAGTTCTTTGTCAAGCTCTCAATTCTCATTCCCTCTATCCTGTTGAAGATCTTTTACGTAATATCTAGTAGTATGTAAGCTTGGTACCACAGATATATTAAAATCCTCACTGATTCTACCTCTCTAGGTTCATGCTGTCAACAATGTCGTCAGAGGAATGGGTGAAGAAATGCGTGGCTGTCATTGCCGTTCCCAAGAAGTAGCGGAGACGTCGAATTTTAAGCCCCTGTCACAAATAGTCTACTAGTAAGTTTAAGTCAAAGTAAGGAAGTAAGTGCCACGCATAGCCAACCCAGACAATGGTTGGGAGTTAGTCTTGAGCAAGGTAACCTGACAGTGTGCTCTTTGTCGGCGAGGTTGCCTACAAGTCTTAAAACGTCGCCTGCGCCAGCCGACTATGGTTGTTGTCATCAAACGAAAGCCATGTTCTCCTCAGACGTTATCAGATGACTAAATTCTAACGCTCAACTTGGTCACAGGGTAAAGCATTTGCTTGTTTTAAATTCGGAAGCACCATGGTAAATAAGAGGAATTATGAAACGTTTTACTTCTTCATTGAATACTGAATTATTGTGCACAACGATCATATAGAGAAATCGAACTTAAAAATGTGATACTTCTGTATTGAATATTGACATTTGATTGCGTTTGCTGTAAGGAAAGGCTTAGTTTCAAAGCCATTTTTCAATTTGCCAGTATATATCTGATGAAATAACAATAAAAGGCATAAACAAGGGCACATACATATTTAGTGTTCTATATTCCATCATTTAATATCTCATAACCTCCATTGGGCAGGATCAACGATTAGCCAAACTAGCCATGGGCAAAGATGGATTCACCTTGGAAGGTTTGTCTCTGCAACAGAAAATAAAACCCATAACCAAACATGACAACTTCAACATGTCAGATAATGCTGACAAATTTGTCTCTTAGTCGATCATTACTTTCGCCAAGAAGGTTATGTTTTCGCAGGCGTTCGTGTGTGTGGTGTGTGCGCGTGTGTCTGTCTGTCTGTCTGTCAGGATAACTCAAAAAGGCTTACATGGATTGTCTTGATATTTGGTAGGTGGGTAGGTCTTGATGAGACCTCAAAGTGATACCTTGAAGATACCTTAAAGATTCCTAGGTGACCAAAGGCACTGCCTGTTGATTAGATTTTGGGCCGCCTGGCGGCTTGGTATGGTACTGCAAACCAAACTTGGCGAAGGTATGAGATCGTGGAACTCTAGTTGCACCTGTATCTATATAGCCGGAGTAACCGCTCTTCAGTCTTTCAAAACTGCCCATGATATTGTAGCAAAAACACGTACCTGTCATTACCTGCTTAACTGTACTGGTAGGAGAACTTGAATCCGGAATCCACTGTGTGCTCGTCCGTCTTGAAACGGATCTTAAGCCCGTTCGCGGAGGTGACTGGATCTGGAGCCTTCTCACCACACCACCGACCTACGTTTGATCAAAGTAAACAAATCAAGATGGTAAATAAGTGCTTAAAATGTACTCCTGCAAACTGTAGACATAATGCCATCTATAAAACACTTGTGTACACACACGCTCAATATAGAAGAGCGGTATACATTCAAGGTAGACATGCAAAATTAGATCCATTTCTAAACCGTTCATTATATGCAGAGCAGTTCTTTCTTTTGTAAAAACAGCAAGAAAACTTCCCGTGACAAAGGTCAGTAAATATGTGGCTAAATCAAAAGCATGGCGATTTTTTTTGTCTCCCAGCTAATTTGGTGCTGTTCCAAAATGACCTTCTGTGCACTAACCGAGGCGAGTTGGGCCGTCGAAGATCTCCACGAAGTCGTAGATGCAGCCCGTGTACTGCCCCAGCTCGTGTTCCTCCACGTGCTCCAGCTTGAACTCGGAGAAGGTGACCGTGACGCCGTTCGTCCCCTCACGGGGAGGCAGGGTCCAGGTGCAGTCCACGTTGTTGTCATAGTGTGCCGGGAAGCTGGGAGTGTGGGCACGGGAATATTAGCTAGCACGCGAAGGAAATAAAAGTATGGCACGAGCAAAACAACACAAGTTGCTGTTGCTGCCACCAGATTGTTACCACTGTCGTAATTCGTAACGTTACTCTCCAGGTATCGAGTAGGACCGTTTTATATATTTTAAAGACTTTTTGTTGGCCTTTCTATACAGACTTTTCACATCCACCATGTTGAATTACAGTGCATGGCTGTTAAACATGCCAACACCTGGTCGCTGACATTGGTATGATAATTATTGTTACGTCAATGAAAAGCCTCGTGAAGAGAAGCTTCCTGCACATATTTGGATAAACCAATCACACCCCCATGAAACTCCTTCCTCTTCGCCCCCGCCGTTCTGCTTCGCCCCCGCCCCGTTCTGCTTCGCCCCGCAAAAAATCTGCTTCGCCCCCGTCGTTCCTCTACGCCCCCGGCGCAATTCTGCTTTGCCCCCGTCCTTCTGCTTAGCCCCCAATGGCGGCACAGCTCACAGTCGACACGAAAATCGTCTGCAAAATAACAATAAAGGCTGTGCCGCCATTGGGGGCTAAGCAGAAGGACGGGGGCAAAGCAGAATTGCGCCGGGGGCGTAGAGGAACGACGGGGGCGAAGCAGATTTTTTGCGGGGGCGAAGCAGAACGGGGCGGGGGCGAAGCAGAACGGCGGGGGCGAAGAGGAAGGAGTTTCATGGGGGTGAATCACCTCCGACATGATTTTGACCAATCAACTTCCAGGAAAAGAAA